ACCCCAACAAACAAACAAACAAACAAACAAACAAACAAACAAACAAACAACCCAACAACCCAACAAACAAACAAACAAACAAACACCCCAACACCCCAACAAACAAACAACCCACCACCCCAACAAACAAACAAACAAACATTTGCTGCAATCTTGGCTGATGTATTTCCCCTCACCTATTATAAGCTTGGATATGTCAATGCTGTCAAATTCTGTGACTGTATGCAACAGAAGTCAATGCATAAAGAGATGCTGCTGTACATTATTGCTTGTATGAAATACTGGTAAATCCGTCCACAGGTTTTACGTACATGTACCAGTACAAATGTATGTGTACAAGAACCGTACACGTACAGTACATTTAGGAGTTATAAACATTGAAAAAGATAAATTTATTTAAACTTTGTTTTCCAGTTACAGGTATGTCATCTTTGCCATTTTCCGGAACACAGAAAAGCATCAACATGATATTTCTTTCACAACTTGACCTCCTCAAATGCCTTACTGTAGAGGTACTCATGCAGATGTGAATTACATGTTGGTGTAATAAATTCAGCTGTTCCACAATGTCTGTTTATGCGATAAGAAAGAGACTGTTTATTTGACTCAAGCTGGGGATTTGTTGATGGGGACGGACAGAAAGAGTCATTACAAATATAATTAGATATTTATATCTGTCTGGATAGTCAGATGACCTCAGATGCCATAGATTATCGATAATATCACATCGTGGAAGAGTAGAACGTTTGGTCCCTCTGGTATGCTAGGAATGTAGCTACGTCCACGGATGTGTATTTTGGGCCTATAAGTGGACTTCCCAAGCTGTGCATATACTGTAGAACTCTCTGTGTGTGCCTCTTGGACTGGTGGTGCACTTTAGGAGGCAGTAATGATTGTGTGCTTAAAATGAGACCATATACCATGTATACCGGGGAATTCGGCCAAGGGTTGCCACACTGCCTCCCTGACCCATCTATAGGGACAGTATTTCAGATTGAGGGATGGTGCATCCCTGCACAATTTTTCCTTTGTACATTAAATTGGCTGGGCCTTGATACAAAATAATCTACCTATTGGTAGCTTTTAAGGTACATGTACCGGAACTATATGTCCTTCATTTGTCTCCAACTCCAGCACTTATCACAGCATATTGAAACATATAAATCTCGTTTTTTATTAAGGCTAGCTGTAAGTTCCCCCTCAAACCAAATCAAAATTAAAAAACAAAGTAATATCGGTCCAGTCCATTAACACTCTGTTTGACTCTCCTGCATATCTTAGACAGTTCCTTTCTTTCCATGAAGCATCTCTGTACTACATGCATATATATACTTAAAGATTTGCTGTGACGTGATGCTTGTGTCCTGCTGTCTCACGTTGCCCTTTGTACAGTACATATTTTCATCCAGGCCAGTCAACAGAGCATTCATGTACATGTACCAGTACCATGCTCACCAATAGCACAAGTTTAATACAGCGGTTCATGCTGATCAAAACAGTAGAGGGCAGCATTCCACTTTACCATGTACATTAACAGGTGAAGCTTGCCAAGTGCAGACTTACATGTACATGTATGTGAGGGCAGCAATCATTGGCAGTGATAAGTAGTTTGGAAGACTGTGTATTGTACATGAACATGTCAAAGGAAAAAAATGTTGGTTGCTTGAAGTTTTGAAAGATCTAAGGAAACTTGGAAAAACTCTTTTAACCCCGTGACGACAGAAATTTCTTCCCAAAAGCCGACTCCAAAAATTCCAGCCTCGCTTGGCCGCGAAGGCCACCTGCCAAACTGCAAATTCTCGGTTTGTGGCCCTGCGTGCTCTGCACGCTTTGAATCACATGGTGAAAAGGCTGATTGTTTGGTGGCATGTGGCTCTACTCACCCTTCCACTTACCTGTTGCCTCTTTTCAAAGTGGGGACTATTGTGAAGCTGGTGATTATGATGCAAATTCAGTCTTTTCATTTCTGGGCTGTGTTCAAAGACCAATTACCATATATACAAGAGCCAGGGTCTGCCTTCTTTCACCGTGTTCGCTCGAGCGTGGGCCGAGAATAATAGCTGAAAAGCGGGCTGAGGATCTCAATTTTTACGGCGTGTCTAGCCGCCTCCCGATGGGAAGGGGTTAAACATTCAGCTCTTACTGCCCTGTCCAAGACCCATCCTGCCTCATCACTGCCTCACCCTTGCCACACCCTTGCCACACCATTACCATATCCCAGCTACAGTACATTATACATGTACCACACCCCCGGCACCTTGTCTTTGCCCATATGTATCCATGTCTGTGCACATAAACATATAAAATTTAGAATACATGTTGAGATGCTGAAGATTTATTTTCATTGAATTGCAGGGCATCCTACGCACGAGAGAAAGCAGAAATGGCCGAGACTGCAGCTTCAGAATCAAGAGAAGAAGCCTCCAAAGCACGTCAACGTGCCAAAGAGCTCACCGCTTCATTACCTCCTAGAGGTACGTATGTAGGTTCATTTGTGTCCTATTCCCTGCCGAAAAGCATTTAAAAAAGAACAGTGTAAACTTGAAGAACATGTACATGTACATGTACCCATAAACTATTATGTTCACCCAGATCACACATTAAGTTTAACTACCTTAGACTGTTCACTTTAGAGACTTTTTTGGGGGGGGGAGAGACCTACCAATGAGTACATTGGAGAAGGATAGTCTCCTTTCTTTTTTTCTCTAGAGAATTACTATAAAATTATAACCCCTTTGTACATTTTTGTGTTGTTAAAAACTTCTACAAGGCAAGGGAGGAGATGTGCCCCCCCAAAAAAAACCCCAATAAACTATTCAGGTGCATTGAGGTTTTTCATCAACCCAAGAAAAGAAAACCAAATATTAGTCACCTACAAGTATCGGACCACTGCTGTGGAAGTTCCCAAACTATGTTGAAAACTAGTGCAGATGTACATGTACAGGTCTTCAACTCGTCTTTGGTGTGAAAACACTCTGTATACTGTACATGTTAAGTCCAGGACCTTGCCAGCATTATGATGTGTTTGGGTTTGAAGCCTGAAAGCCTCAATGTGTTAACTATCCTTGCCAAATCTTGGTGTCAGAAAACCAGGCCATTTGCTTGGAGCATATCCAAATGCATGCACACATCCATCATTATTTTCCTTGTCAATACATTCATTAGCTCAGCCACTTGCATGTGCCAGAGGTACCCTGTACCCCACACATGAAATGCGATGTGTGGTGTGCGGCACACAACTTCGCTTTCAGTTACATGTACTTTATGTTTTGCTCTAGTGTGTCACAATGACATTATTTACTGAGATTCAAAGGTGCGGATTCCAGTCCAGACCTCATTTCTTTTGTGATGTCATCATTTATAGTCAGCTTCCCACCTTACAAATGAAAAAGTATGAGATTGTTTTTTTTCCTTTTACAGTAATACCTCATATTTTACTTCATGCGCCTTTTAATCTGAACGCTTGCATCACACCAAGCATTTCTTAGTTCGAATGACTGACCATCGACAATTTTGAGCCCATAAATTTTAATGAATGACAGCTCATGCATCATGAATATTGCATTTTGATAATGTACGAAAGCATCATTGTTCCAAATTTGAATGTAATCTTCGTTATTAATTGCTGTTGTCTGATGTTAGCATTACTTGTGCGCAACCTTCATTTCATCTAATTTATAAATTTCTGCCTTTTGTTCTGTTGCAAGATTTTCTCTTTTGTTTTCTTTGTTAATGTATTCAACAACTCTGTCACATGTAAGACTTTTCTCAAAACTAAAGTTCCAAAACATGTTTTAAAAACAGTTCATCAGTGTTGCATTTATATTTTCTCTTTTTCTAAAAGGGTTGTTATCACCACCAAATATCATTAAAGGCAAGTAATGTTCCAATGGAATTCAACTCTGTTTGGACTCTGATGCCAACAACCCCTCAAAGAAAAAGGAAACAAAATTTGACATGGGGGTGGGGCTAGGAGCTGTGGGGAGGGAGGAGACTACCAAACCCAGTGAAACATTTGATGAGAACAAGACGTTCTAAGTTCCACGTGCTAACACTTTTTGCCCAGCAAGCTTTGATAGCACACAGGCATTTTTTGTAACTTTGTGTTTTTTTTCATATTTGAAAGACTGTATTTTCCCACAATGTCATTGCTGACAAACATCATTATCCTTATGTAGGTAATGTGTCAAGACTTGCTGGCTTTGGGTGCAGGACGGCCAACGTTCGTTTTGCCAACTCCCTGTCGCCTGATGGTATATATGGTGGGCTTACCTCCTCCTTCTCCTGGTGCTGCCCTGCCCCATGTGCCTGTCCCTCTTCACCATTGTTTTTTCCTCCCTTATAGTCCCCCCAGCCACATCCACTCCCTGTTTTATTGCTGATTTTAATTTGCCTGCTTGCCAAGTTTGCTCATACCCTGCTCACCGTGAACTTAAGTCACTGATACACCTTGATTTGATTAATTTTGTGCAATTAATTATTGTTGTTTGTTTCCACATGAGCCTGTGCAGATTGGTTCATGGTGGTCTCTGTCTTTCTGCAGAAAGTGTATCAGGTTGTATTTTGCCCCCTTGCTTGGGAATAGTGGGCGTGAGCAGGCTTTCCATACAGCTTTTAGATCAGTTCTTCATCCAACCTTCATTTTTTCATACCCCAGTCAAGACGTTTCAAATGGAAAATCGACCTCTTTCCTGAGAATACAAGTATGTACATTGAATCAACTCAGTAGTGGCAGAAAAAAAAAAGAAACTGGATGGCTTGAGTCTCTGTTACCAAACATACATGTACATGTACTGGCCAGTGTGAATTTGTGGTCACTGTGCTTTTCTAAGTGTATTTTATAGAGGCCTGATTAACAATAAGAGTGGGACGTTTACACGTTTGGAAAAAAGTTCCAAATCCGTTTAAAGAGTTTCCCAAACGTTCAAACGGAACCGAGAGAGGTTTGACATTTTGATTAAGGCAATCTGGTGTTCATTTTTATTGTAAACGATGCCTGTAAAATGTAATTTGATTTTCAGAACACTTTACTGCCCGGTCATATCAAAAGAATACCATAAATTCATCACCGGAACTTTATGTCAGCTATTCACATTGTATGCAATTTGTTGTGTTTAAAGTTTTCAATGACACTGTGGCAAGAGTGGGACGTTTGCACGTGTAAATGGTATGGGAAAGTTTTCTAAACATTTTTCAAATTAAATGTAAATTCCAACCCTTAATTAACAAAGAGGCAGATTTTTCTACGACACCTTAGCACAGGACCAGAAGACACACTTCCTGTGACTACTTGTCCAACTCCACCCTTATTTTCCTTCGGATTCTACTCCTCTCAAACAGTTTTTTTTTGGGGGGGGGGTTGGTGTCCAACAAGTTTTCTTCTCAGAAGAACAATTCCCACAATGTTTCCTTTTCATTTTCTCTTTCCCAGCAATTGTATTCACACAGAGATCTCCTTGATTATGGTTTCAGATCAGAAAAAGGTTGCAGTTTCTTCAGAGTTCATGTTTAATTTTGCAAAAGAAAGTAATTTTTGTCCATTTTTTAATCTCAGTCACTGTGCACTGTTAAAATATTGAATACATGTGCACTTTCTAGTTTGAACTGGTGAGGTTTTGGTCAATGGCCTCCGTACATGTACCTGTACATGAGCATATTTAGCCTGCACAGGTTCTTAAGTGTTTCATTTAGGGCACATTATTTGTAGATAGAAGGAACTGACAGTGAAATTATTTTATTTCACATGTTTAAAAAAGAATCCTGTCTCACTATCTGTACAACCATCAGAGAGACGCATGTACAATGTACGTGTACATGTTGTAAAGTTTGGCCCAGTGTCATTGAAATGGCTGAATGTTACTGGTACATGTGATTTACTGCTAATTTCCTCACAGTTCCATTGAGCAGAGCCCTTCATGGATTGGGAACAATGTCTCTTAGAAATCAGCTGCTACTATGTACTGTACATGTAAATGCACTTTCTGCCCAAAACCTAAGGGTTTATGTGACCTTTCTTTTGCACACCCCCTCTGGGTAAAGTTCATAAGATGCATGTGTACATGCCACATCTTTTGTAGTCATTTCAAAAGAGCTTGTTGACAAAATCACAGGCAGTGCTCGATAATGTGGAAGTATATGTACATTTGTCACTGGGTTTATAACAATGGGTTTATGCACTCAGATCTGACAGTATGATCGCTGTTCACCCATGGGACATCTCATGCCATGGGAATTGTCACAAATACATGTACATGTACTGTGATGTAGTTAAAGATCATTCAAATGTTAGGATCATTACAATAGATTGTGTCTCAGTTTTCTGCAATAATAAAAAGGCCATTACTTTTAAAAGAAACAGGCTGCATTTGGGGTTTAATGAACAGAGCTGTACATGTCAGCCTCGGTTGTGGAGACAGATACATGTACATGTGTACATGTGTACATGTACATGAACATGACACACATGTACATGTAGTTACATGTATTTTACATTGTGCAGTTTCCCATTTAGTATAACAAGCAGCGTGCAATATTTGTGCCATCTTTTGCATCCTTTTCTAACAAATAGTCTTTGTTTTCAACAAGTGTCTACCTTCTTTCTTTACTCATGTTTTATAGTTCTATTATACAACACACATGCTCATCTAGAGAGCAGTTAATGAATAGATAAATAAAATTATTAAAAGCACTGGATATCAGTTACGTGTAGTTCAAAAATCAGCACTGTTTTTCAAGGCTAATAGCAATTACTGTAAGCACTCTTGGTTATCTATAATGACAATCAAGCAGAATGTTAGGCATATACTGTACATGTGTATATTCCTGAATTTAGTCTTTTGGACACAGTAGAATTACATGTAACTTTATGTGTGCGGTTAACAGATGTAGTGCAAATTCCTTAACTCTAACATGTACTACTTTACCCCTTGGTTGTTTTTAGTACTATATGGGTAACCATATGTTTGTGTGCAGTCAAACCTTTTATGTCATCAGGGCCCCAAAACACTAATACGTTTGTTATAGTGAGCAACAACAGACAAGCACAACTCTGTGAAACGAGACTGAAACGTCCTTCATCACTGAGGGGTTTTACTGCAAACAAATTTATGTAGCATAGCTGTTCACATCATACTAACCTCATTAATTCTTTCAATGTCGGCAGTTGTCTGCATCCCTTAATTTCTCCAGTTTTATGTGTTGCTCCCTGTCTCTCTTACTGGTTGCTTTTTTTTTAAGTACAGTTTGGTATCGAGTAAAGGCAATAACCAAAGCCTTCTGACACATTATTTAAACCACATGACTTTGTGTATTTGTACTGTGCACGTGTACTTACAACCTCTGTTTCATTGTAGGCTGGTTGCATTTTAAGGTTTAAACTTGAAGCTGACCAGTCTATTGTCCATTCTTCGTGTTGTTTGTCTGTGGCCTTGTTGATTTCACATTGATTTTGATCTCGACCGGTGGACCCCAAGCTGGTTCACTCTATCCATTAGGCCAGTTCTGGCATCAGTGAACCAACGTCAGGTCACTGATCTTGAATCAGATCCATGTGAAACAAACAGGCCCCACGTCATTGATTTCTTTGGTGGCTATACACACCGTATTACCTGGCCCTACTCACTGTGCTGCTTTGTATCAATGCAGATTTCAGTTGGAACAGTGAGTTTTGGGCCAGGCAATCTCATGCCGTCCAGTCACCAAAACATTCACAAAGCAGGGTCGACATTTTTCTACCAAGTCTTAATGAACCCTGTTCTCATCACTTAAAAAAGCTTCATTAATTACTGAAATACATTTCTCACCATCAAGCATTCAAAACTCTACAGTGCTCTCAAAGTGACTATGTACATGTACTTTTATTACTAAAATCTAAAGGAGTCATTTAATGAAAAGGAAGAAGATAGTATGAATATATATTCCGTCAAGCCTTCATATGGCTAAAATTCAAATTTCCATGCAGTACAGTAGAAAAAACGAATATTTATGGTTTAAAATTATCCTGTCATTTTTAGAGTGAAGGTACATGTATTAAGTTGTTTCACTGAACACAACCCTACAGACTGCTCAGCATTTTCAAGAGACGAAACACAGATGTGATGTCATTTCAGAGAGTAATTTCTACGAACACATAAAAGCCAAAGACTCCTTTTCCTCAGGATTGGAAGCTTTATCATCTGGTGTGTCGATATTTCATTTAAAAACACCACCTTTCTTGCTTTATCAGTTACTTTCTTTTACTATGGAAAGCTAGATCTTGTTTCTTGAAATGACTCCTCTGGACTTTTTCCAATACTGATAAGGTGATAGAAAAAAAAACAGCAAACCTCTTCAGGTAACAATTTTTTAGGTACAAAAAAGGTCCTCATCAAAAAGTGTCCAAAGTTGTTTAGCACTGTCAGTTGCTATGTATTTACACTTGCTGTTGTACTGTTTTTCTGACAATAGGTGGTACAGGAGACATCAAGCTTGATCGCAAGAAGAGTTTCTTCGGTCGACACCTCGGAGGCTTTGACAGGAAGAGTCACATGCGAGGCACGATCATCGAAGCCAAACAGGAACCTAGCTTTCAGACCCCAACCCACTCAGCGGACAATAAAAGCCACCCCAGCCGGCTAGTCAATGAATGGGATGGTAGAGGATCCAATCCGACTTATGAATCATCCGCCATGAGGGAATCCCACTCGACGGGAAACCTGTTTGACGGGAGTCCTGTGCCACGGAGGCGAGTGCAGTCCTCTGACCATCCAAGCAACGGAGGTCAGGCCTCCTTCCATCCCAGGAACCAGCATGGTGATGTCGGGGTCCGTTTCAATGGGTACCAGGACAGCGAGTACAGTGCGTCTGAGGGTTACTATGACGACCGGCACCACCGCATGTTACCAGACAGACGGTATGTCGGTGAGAGAGGGTCCGCCGAACTGACCCCAGATTCTGGCATCAGTACAACCTCTGATTCAGATCGCCTCCGTCGAGCTGTGTCGGACAGGAAACGTACCCTGGCAAAACGCCAACTATCTCGGCAAGAAGGAGTGGAAGAGGATAGTTACGACCGTCATCTGGGGCCAAGCCAGGGTCACAGTCGCAGTCATTATGACGAGTACGATAGCTTTAATGTAGACGAATTAGAAGAGGATTTGATGTCACAAGCTGCCTATGCCAGCGCAAGGTTTGACGAGGAAGGCGAACAAGAAAAACTCAGGCAACAGAGACAGAAGCAAAAGAGCAAATTCAGCAAGGAAGTCACGCTGATATCGGACATGCCGCCAGGCCATGTGCGCACATTTGACGGAAAGTTCCCCGCCCGTTGCAAAATCAGATACCTCCCCAAGGCAAACAGCCGCGACGAAGACTGGACGGACCCTGATCTTGATGCTGAGGGCGCTCTTGCCATTCAAGCAGGAAAAGTGGTACGTATGCACGCCAAGTGGCACATTTGTTTCAGAGCTCACAGAAGTGGGAATTTATATGTCGTCTCTCACAGAATAAGAGTTTCTGATTCTGCTATACCTGTGTATCTTGTTTGAAAGTTGTAACTTTGAAAATACCCAAATGTATTTTCTGTACTTTATTAGCATGTTATTCCAAATTCATATGTTTATTATATTTTTGGACACAAACCAGCAGAGTTGGTCTGCAAGTCGGAGTCTTGTCCTTCTGGTGCTTATCCTCAACATTGGCTTTGCCGTGCTCTTCACCAATTTGTTTCTTCAAATGGAGGAGGAAGAGGACAACTGGGAAGGCTGGCCTTGAGGGGGAGAATCCCAAGTCTCTGATTGGATGCTCTTACGTGATCTTAATGGTGAGGCCAGGGTGTGCGATGGGTCAGTGAAGAACCAGGTTGGAATCTAGCGCTTATGACTTGGTGAAACTAGAACAGGTGCTGCTCTGTGATTGGACATCACCAACTTGTGTCCCTGCAGGTACTGGAGGCATCGTCATGAAGTTTATCAAAAATATATATCCCCCCCCCAAAAAAGGGAAAAAAGGAAAACAAATTCCTGATTGCTGTGTGAGTTTTTAAGAGTTACAGATTTTTATTTAGTAGTATTATTTTTATCCATTTTGGGAACTGGTCCCAACTTGCCTAGAGTTGAGTGTGTGACGAGTGTTGGATGTGATGATGAATAGCACCCAACAATTCACAAAGACCCAAGTTGGGTTTTGCCAATGACACCCGAGTGCCTAGACATGTACATGTAGAATTTGACTACACTGAAGTGAAGGAAACATGGAAATCAAAGTTCATTAGGTCTGAAGTGAATAGAATTAACTAAGTAATTAATAAGACAGAGCTGAATTTCCTTTGACCTTTCCCCCATACTCTTAATCAACTCTTCACCATAATCTTCTCTCAGAAAGACAACTACATGCACATGGGTCAAAACCACTTTCTTCGTGGTCCAAAGACTTTTTGATTAAAAAAAAAACAAATTCAAAACAGAACACCAAATTCTTTTAGACTTTGTTTTTCTCCAGTGTTCTTTAATGGTGTCAGTGACTGCTCACAACAAGGTTGAACACAGTTGTAAATACTGCACTATCGGTAATGGAATCAGGAGTGGACCTTACATTGTTGCAGTACATCTGTGGTGGAAAGGAGAAACTTAGCTCTTTTTGTGTGTGTTTGGTGCTTGTGTAGAAATGGCTAACTATTATTACTTCACTTTGGCTAGAGGCAATATTTATTTCTTTAGACCAATCTTTTGCAATTCATTTTTACATTTTTACCCTCTTCTCTGGAAGTGTGCAGTTCATGTATATCTGTCTCTTACATCGCAGAATTCAGTACCACATGTAAGCTTTGCGGCAGCCAATCAGAATACAACCTGTTTCATAGCTTTTCACTTACAAATCTGTAACACACTTTAGAGAAATCATATATTGTGAATATAACAAATCCTGCCACTTTGTTTATCTAAAAGGTATTTATTTTGTGGAAAAACTGTATTAAAAGAAATCAACTCATTTGAATATATATTTAAGTTATTTTAGCTTTTCATTGTATTCAGGAATATATCTGTTATGTCCGACAGTGCAATCTTTGTTTATGCTAGAATGAAGTGGGACAACATATCTGAGGGATGGGTTTAAGATAAATTATGTTCACAAATTTGGTCTTACTTGCCAAACAGTTATGGTCACTAAACAGCATGTTCAGATTGCTTTTCAGAAGTAGGATCGAACCTTAATGTAGGATTCTGTGGGATATGGTGAATTGTTTCAAAGAGAAACTACCGTGTAATAGTTAAGAGATATATATGTGATGCGATGTGGGATCATCGGATTGCCGGTGCAAGATATTTGTTGAATCGCTGTCAAACAACTGTGAAGGACCACAGATTTTGGTCTTTGTCACCAATAAGCAAATTCATGTGTGAACACATGCACACTGCTGCCGTTTCGAAGGAAAAGAACTTCACAAGCAAAACTTGTTGGAAATGGGGGGGGGTATATAAATGTTGGAAGTCTAGTTCTTGATGCCCTCAGGTTTTGAAACCAAAGAGGCAAAAAATTTTAAAAAATGATGGTGCAAATGTAACCCTTCGTAGTAGTGCACACCACTGAAGTGAAATGGTTGGGGCTGTTGACTTCTTTTCCAAATAATGATAATAGATTCTTGCCAGAAGGGGGTACTGCCCTGCCCTCCTTGACCCTCCCATTTTGGGGGTATCTGGCACATTTGTTGAAGTTTACAGCAGTAGTTGCTTTTCTCTCATTGTTCAGTTTGCGGGATATTATTTTTCCTGTTCCAGTTTGGGATGGAGAACATGGATATTGCAGAAGTGAGTTTTCAGGTAAATCCAAAAATACTAACAAGGCTCTCATCTCAACTGAGTGTTTGGAAGAAAGAGATGATCTGCTTACGGAAATTTAGCACCCACTTTTCTCAATAAGGAATTGAGTATATACTACCTTGGCGTCAACTTATTTTTAAGAAGTTGAGAGTGTCACCATTTGTAACTGTATGTGCTTCATACGAGATGGTTTGTTAGGAAAGGTCGGAAGTTAAACAATCTGTACCCACGGGAACATCGTGAAATGTTCTCTTTCAGTCACTAACGGGAGATGGTTTTATATTTTTTGTATCTTGTCGTTTTGTAAATGTTGCTTATAAACGCGGCTTGTGCAGTATGTTTGCAATGCACAAATTAGCTTATAGAAATGAATAACATCACTAATACGGGCAAAAGTGCCAAAAAGCTACTTTATTACCAAAATGACTAATAACTAAACCTGTGATTTTACAGTTGGGTATTTTGTAAGTGGCGAGGTCCTGGATCACACAGGATGGCTGACTAATGCCATAATTGTGAAGTACATATCTCATAAACTGTTGTATAAAAGGAAGACCAAATTGGCCGTTAACACGATCACTAGCTGGAGGTTTCCAAATCTGGGCTTCATGTCCGATTCAACTTCAGGCTTTAGTTGGGGCATCTCAGCTCAAGACAGTTCATTTTCCGCAACAGAGAGATCAAGTTGCCTATTATGGGGCCCCGTTACTTGGACTATTGACTTTGGTTCCAACAGTTACCATTTCATACTGACTGAAGAGCATTAGACAAAGCTTAGAGCAAGGGGGGTAGGCCCTAATGTCATGAGTTAATGACCTGTGACTTGGTTTACCCAGACCCAGTCACTATAAATAGTGCTGACGCACCAGTGAGTACTGGTTGTGTTTTTGTGTACATGTAACATTTTGCATGGTTTTTTCAGAAAGGTATGTTCGGAGCTGCATGCGATGTCAAATCAGGAACATAAAGTATTCACTTTGAGCTCTTCTCTCTTTAAAATGCCGCTGTTTCCTTTTGTATACCGCTAATTCCTTTTGTATAACGCTGAAGTCGCTAGTCATGTAGTTTTGGCATCACTAACCATACTAATAAGATCCTCGCAATGCTTGGGTTTCAGTGAGATCATAAAAGGAATGTTACTTGCGCACTGACAGTTTTAGGATTCTAGCATTTTTCGCTGGGCTTTAACTCCAGTTAGCGGTTGGTTAGAAAAAAGTACCCCTTCATACATTCTGTTCGTTCACAATTTTTATGAGTAAATTTCTAAGCAAATTGAAATGAACCAGTTTTATTGATTTGCTTCTTGAGGAATAAGATGAAAGTTATGTCTGAACTCGTTGGCCGAGGTTAGGATGAGCAAGATACAGTGTAACGCATGCGGTGTCCACATTTATAAAGGGTGGTGCGACTGGTTATGCATTAAAGCCGATTACACGTACTTGTGAATGTCCACACGTTTGATTAGTTTGTGTGTGTATAAATTTATGTTGACTCCACATGCATGTTGACTCCAATATCGTGCATGCTACTTTGTGTTTGTTTTATGCAGACAAGGACCACATTTTTTCGTCATTCTTTTCAAAGAATCTTTTTTTCGGCTTGATTATGTTTGCTTCAGTATTTTCGGTCGCAGTTTATTTCTTGTGACACAAGTTCTTTATTTTAAGCATTTTAACAGGAAAAGGATTTCTATAATTGTATTGGGGAGTAAGTCAAAAGTCAAACGTATGGCAATATACGGTCCCTTAAAACGCATCTCTCACAGGCATGTCGTCAGAAATTAATATGTGAGATAAGTTTCCATTCAGTTTCGCCCGTACACAGCCATTCCACCTCACCATTGTTAATGCCATTTCATTTACCATTTACCTGAAAAAAGTCGTGCTACTGCAGTACCAAAAATCCATCCCTCCATATGTTTGTGTTAGTCTATATAATAGGCGTACTTCATATTTCCATCATAGCTTAAAGTTAAGTTGGTTGCGTTGTTGCAAACATGATTCTTCGTGGCACGCCGTGTACATGCGACATTATGACGTCTTGAGTTAGTCTAAATCCATCTGTCCGTCCATTGGATGTTAGGTACTAAACTTTCAGCCAATAGGAATGTTTTCATTACGTAACAGCGCGCTTGTCAACGGGATGCGCGATTACAAATAAGGAAGCGTGTGCTCACAATGGACGTAATGGCCGTAGCTCTGGAGGCTGGTACTGCACAGTCTAACGGCAGTGCAGGGATTTGGTCACTTAAAAAGCCAGGATAATACCTTGAGAAATCCACGTTTCCTTTGTCTGAGTTAGGTCATAAATGCATGATTTGTAGCAAAGGGTATACGATTTTGGTTTGGAAAAAGCAAAAAGGACCGATCTTTCCTCACAGCGTTGCTTTTTATCCATGCATAAAATACCAACCGAAGTTTCAGTTGAAACCTGATTATTGTTTGGTTACTATTTACTCTTTATAGATTTTAGTCCACGAAATTATTGAAAAACAAATTTCCTTGTAGTAAATTAATAGACTTTAGTTTAGTTGGCAAAACTGATTTTGTGTATTTGGACCGACTTGGCCTTGAAGGTCTTTTAGGTTGTGTGTCATTTTTGAATATAAATATTGTAAACATGTAAATCTTTAAGAGAAAATCAGGTTTTGGACAACTTTTCCACGTCAGGCATCTTAAAACAACTCATGAGAGAAAATAACTAAACACTAAAGTGTCTTGTGATATGTACTGGTCAGTAATTGTTTATACGTTGTACATTAAAGTAAAACATTATTTATAGTCACGTTGGCAAAGCATTTTCACTGTTGTATTTATGCACCTTGTCTTTTATGATGTAATTTGTTCATAAGGGCATTCACACGATTCTTGCGTCCATGCTATGAGAATAACATTCGCCTTGCTTTTCTAAAGTTTGAGGTTGCACTGGTCCAGATAAAAAGGCGAAGCGATTGGGGGACTTCGACCAAAATGTCATATTTAATGCAGAACGTTACCTCTAAAAAGACGGGAGAAACTTACGGTGTTCTGTAACAAGCTGATCCTATGCTAGTGGAGGGCTGTCTCTGAGTGTCAGCCACAGTGACTAGTACCTTTAACATGACACGTACAAGAGTTTGTTTGAAATGGGGCATTGTTTGATGTCATTCGCCAAACGTCGGCTCCGTCTGTGAATCTGGTTTCGTTTCAGACCTCAGACCCATTTTTAAAGCCTTTACTTTCAAGCTAGATGTGAAAACTGTAAACTATTGTAGAATGTTTCAGCAGCCAAAACACGGCCCACAAAACGAATCCTTCAAGTTACGGACTTCAGATCATTAGGTGGCAACGAAGGCATCATACAAAGTGTCCAGAGCAAAATGCCCACTTATGTTTATACGCACTAGCGTACACACCATGTGTGGACATACCCGGCAAGGTTTTGCCAACTAAGGTACTGTCATGCACGTCATGTATAGTAAGATGGTAAGCCATGAATTATTAATGAGCAGGTGCTTTTGCACCGAGTGCCTTTTGAGATGATACATGTACTGAGAGACGAAGCCGGGTTTTATCACCAAAGCGTAAAGACAAAAGGAAAGTGCATCTTGAAGATGATAGAAACTTTCATTCATTGCTTCGAGGAATTGAGCATACAAACCGGTAGACAACACGGAATTGCATCTTCATAGACAGAAATTCAGTGTTCGTTGTACAACATCAACTGGCTTTTAGGCAAAAAGGATGACAATATGTTCAAACCTTTTTGGCCGCTTTACATCTCTCAAAATATTTTCTCGTTACACGAAAGCCAAATTGTACCCAAGGGGACATCGTTGATGCTTGTTAACGGTGGTACTTCAAACTTCTTTTATCGCATCTACGAATGATTGTACACTACATCAAGTTCATATTTGTGGAAAAACAAACTCACAGAGCTAATCAACCTTCTCAAAGAGGGTGACGATTTGCTTGTAAATGTTTTCATAAACAGGCTCTTTCATGTCCATGTATCTCCTAAACTGATTGTTTTTATATGGCATAACAGCTATTTTTAACTCAAATAATGGTCTTGTGAAATTAAAGCTCAACTTAAATCATTGATATCAGAATGCCGGTCATGGACGTGCCTTTCACCATTTGACTTGTGATCTTTAAGGTGGTCGGAAAACTGTTATACACTATCGTTTTCATTTCACATAGGGATAAGACTAGAAACATCAGTTAGTGCACAATTTATTGTCTCAGATGTTCTAGGTCATTTGTAACATTTGTATTATAGTATTTTTTCCAGTTCTCTTTAATCCCTGACAGCAAGGCCAAAAACCTATTCTTGATATGTTTTTAGCTCTCTGAATGCCTGGGTACTCGTGGCCAACTTTACCCTTGACATTAGCACACCATTACGTTCGTGTAAGAGAGAATACGATTACGGTAATGTTTCCTGCTTAGGGACACGGGGAAAACCACTTTTCTTTGTTCACATCTGTATCCCTGGGTACTTCACTCCAAATAACCAGTTTCTGGTTTCCGGATCCAGATGCAGATTGCGACTATGAAATGTATTTTTGTATCCATTTCCAGACAGGTCCTAAGCGCATGCATTTTTACGTAACTTGAAACCATTTCGTCCTTGAATTACGAACGGAATGGAGCACAGTGCTTGCACGGACAGGTTTCGAAAAAGTGGCTGCACTTGGTGTCGGGCTGCTAAATTGATTTTTACCTAATAGTTTTGCAACCGTGATAAGGGCCTTGGTTTTGCAAGTGCAATCTCGCTCTGGGTCCAGTGTGCCAGTGCCGTGCGAAGAGCAAACGTCACTGCATTTTAAAAATGCTGAGAATTATTATGAAGTAATGTTGACATTATATGGATTGTTGAACATAGAGATAACACGCTTTACTTGTTCGATCATTAAAACTTCTTGTGTCGTATGTCGAATGAGACAAACTTGTCTGGTGTCATTTTGCCTCTGTGCCCTAGAAAGCCCCAGAACCTCTTGCATTGTTTTTCATTCTGAAAAGTTTTCCCTCGGATATTTTAACATTCAAGCAGAATACTAAAGCAACCCTAAGGCACTACTGCCAACAAAGTTGTCTAAAATTACAATGCAAGGGGTAAACAAGTTTAAAAGTTAAGGTCAGCCAGTAAGTAGAAGGTCGTGGGTTCGATCCCATTCGAGCAGTGGCGTAGCTAGGATTTTACAAATGAGGCGGGGGGGGGACAAAGGGGCACCAGCTGTCAGTGTTGTGTTTTTGTTAGCCGTGTTCATCCGGATTTTTGCAGTGGCACACCGAATTTCCCCCCCCCCCGTACTTAGGCCACTGCATTCGAGTAAGTTGCAGAATTTTTTTGCGAGCACTCTAATGGTGTTAAATGAGTACACAGGGTTTAGAAAAGGCGACACCACATACTTACATTCAGTCGTGCGCGAGGTGATCTCATTTTGTGCGCGTTTTAGAGAACCGAGTTATTTTCGTTTTCAAGAACGTCCACCCGGTACAGTGCGGCACTTGTAGCGCGCATTCTCTGCACTTGTGTTTTCAAGAACTGATACCGATTTTAATTTCACTAGTTAAAACGAATTTTATTAAATGTTTGAGTATAAGGCAGCAAATATGTGGATAGATTAAATTCATGCCAAACCTTTAAAAGCATTTTTCTCCGCGCTGAATTGCCTTAGGCCTAACAAGCTTGGGTGTCAGTTCGCGAGAACGAAAAATCAATCTACTTCGCTTCAGTGTCAGATGTGCACGCGCACTCGGGTGCTGGTTCATGAAACCGAAATTTTTGATAACGCAGTTTTCAAAAAGTGACACCCACTTGCAACCAAGTGTCAGTTCGTGGTGTCGGTGACGATATAATGTTTTGGTACATTAATGTTATGAAGCTAAACACTGAATATGGTTGCATCTCAAGGGTAGTTTGTAAGCTTTCCGATGATTTTCTACTTGCATCTCTGCATGCAATCATGGATGAACGAGCATCATTATTTTACGAATCATTAAGTGAAGGCATCTTTCCCCCAAAAGGCTGACGTCTATCTGATTTTTTCTCTTGACATTCCACCATTGGATGCGTAAATTAAAATAACTAACATTCTTTGAAATAATTATTCATAAAAGAAGACTAACAATATACATCTGCCTTCGGCAACACCTTCGACGTAATATACATTCGACGCAAATTTGACGGTTACGGTTCATTTTCTTCGGAAGCTTGTCTCACCACTGATCTATTATTGCTCAAGACGTTGACTTCGTTCAGAAAAGAAAGTCGGCATACTGTACTTGTGGCCGACTTGGAAAAAAACGGTCTTCCAATGGAAATAATCTCAGAGTGTCAGATCGGGTGACCTATTGTGGCCATTCCACTGGATGATTGAAGGTAACCACTCTTTGTCTTCGAAGGGCTCCTTGCCGTATTTACCACAGAGGTCTGAAGACACCAAAGCCTAGTCATTCCAAAAAGGTTGCTCATTAAACTGAGGCACAATCCGCCTCCAGCAGAAGCACCCCTCATTGGTTGAAAAGAGCTGCGTTGGTGGCCGGGAATGTCCAATTTTCTGGTAACGATGCAAACTTGACGCGTGCATATACCAGTCGTTCGGAAACCGGCGAAGTTCAGTTCCGCCCAAAGGAGCCTCCATTGCAAAGAAAATAACGCCCTCTCTTGGTCCATCTCGAGTCCCATTTTATTGTTGATCATGCATTTGTGGCTGAGCAATAACTGAGTGTACATTTGCCTATGCTTTTAATTGGGATGCCTTCTATCCAAACCTCCAATCCTATTGTTTTGAAAAATAAAAGTGTTCACTCATCCGTAATCGCAGACATGCACAGTGAAAGCTTGTAAACTAAACCATTTCAACTGAAAATACATTTATTATGGTTCAAAACATTCATATTTCTGAAAAGTAATTTTGCGAAAAAGTTACAATTACCCCCTTATTGTGTTTTAAAAACACTTCAGAAAGTGGTACACTGCGACTATGAGATGTTATCAAAATACAGAAAGTGGCACTACATATTATATTAGGGTTGAGTGTGTACAAATAGGAATCATGTATACATCTCTTGTGTTTTTATTTGACGCATATAGCATGTACATTAAAGAGCACCTCTAAGGAAAACTTGTTTTCTCTGATTTTATCTGTTCAAATAAATATGGAAGTATCCAAACCGAACGCAGTGTCGTTTGTCTTCAGGGCGGATCGCAGGGGGGAGGGTGTGGCCCTCCTAGAACATGGTTCAGAATCCGCTCTTGGCCGGCGCCAGAGTTGTACCCACCACGTGTCCCATAGATTTCCACAAGCAAATATCTATGGTCAAGTTAACATGGTCTGTTCTTCACAAGGGTTTCTTGTTCTCGCTCTCGAACGGCGGGAACACAACCCAAGAATACTTTTCTCGGAACTAAATCGAACACCACTACCTCCTCGTCACGGTTTTGCACGTACACGCGGCCGAAAACAAGCGGCATTTTGATTTTTGAACAATGCTAAAAATAACGAGATTGCCGACAAAGCCAGAGACGATAGGAAGTGAAATACAGTCAAGTCACAAACGGACATGCAGTCGACACCATCGGTGGATCATAGTGTATACTGTAACGGAACAGGGGGAGGTATGGATAACAGTCGATTACATTAATTATTATTAATCTGTCGGAGAGCCGCACTAGGTACTTGAGCTTGAATTGGTTCAGTGCAACCTTGGGGCGCCGACACTCTCCGTTCCGGAACCAACACAGCGCGGAAGATCGTATCCAAGGGAATGAAGTTGGCGAGCGGCTTGACATTATGGGTACAGTCCATTAACTATAATTCAAGCTCCACTGAAAACAGTGTAAAATCAGCACTGTTCAGGACCCAATAACATGCACGCAAACATCCCTGAGATTTCTGAAACACAAATGAAATTCTTGTTTTGTCACTTATCCTTCAATTTCTTTTCAATTTTTTGTGGGTTAACCAATTACATTTTTAATTATTCCCACAAAACAAAATCACCCCCAAAAAGGGATTTTTCCGAAGTCTGATTGCAGCCGTTTTTCAAGTGGTAACCCTCAACTTTCTCGGGCACTTTGGACCATTTTTCAACCGTAGTTTTTAGCCATTCTGCTCTCATATGAAAGCTCAAAGACCCAGGGAGTTGATCCTGGCAATCTCAGGATCACAATCTCACCATTTTGGGGGCCAAACATTCTCCTTTTTCAAAAGATACTGTGGGGGGGACTTTTAATGCTAATGAGCTGGCCAGAAACTCTCACTTAAATTAGTGGTCTGCAACCTTATGAGAACGTAGCTTCAGCTTGCCAAACGCGGTGGCGCCTTTTGCATCTAAGCTTTTCTCAACAATCGTATTGAGGTGATATCTTCATAAAATGGCTTCGTTATAATGACATGAAAATAATGTTTGTAAATTGAAAAACGTACCCTGTCTACAAATAAAACAAAGGATCCAAAGATCACGCCGAAGTGAGGTTTTTGCAAACCTTAACGATGACCAAGTACATCTCGTTTTGGTAAGGGTTCGGCAATTTCGATTAGGCCTATGCCAACTTTTTCTGCCGGTACGAATATTTCCTCGACAAGATTTCATACATCTTTTCTTAATGAAGTGAGATGTCTGTTAGAGAGGTTTGTACACCTTTGAACTCATTAAAATGGTGAAATTCACACGAGTATTTTTCTCATCCACACCACAGAAGATCGACAGCATGGCGTGCTCTCTAGTCGTTGTCAGTGATAGCCGTGATCCTTTGCAAAGTGGCTCCTAATCTTTTTTCTTGTTTTCTTGTAATCCGCAAATGAAATCTGGTATACCAGTGACCAGTCATGATGATATGCGGCTTTAATTTTTGGGTGACAGGAAAACCATTCTCTCGAATGTGCCCATTTTGACATAGGCGTCACGGTGTCAGCCCCAAATCTTCACTTTTCCCACTGACGTGCTCATTGCACACGGCAGATGCGCGAGGTTATGAACCCCAAGCGACTAGGCCTATATCAACAAAACTCCCTTGGATTGAATATACATTTCCCGGATAGACTCATAACGGGTGTCTTTATATACAACATGCCAAGTCAGTGGTGGATCCAGAAATTTTCTGAGGTCCTAAGACGTTTTATTGTGTTCGTTTGTTGTACATAGGCGGATACAGGGTTATTATACTGTCACACCTCTATACTAGTCAGTTTTCAGGACAAATTTGTGAAGCTGTCGGCAAAAATGGTAAAGGAAAGGAAGGGAAAGGACGAGACTGATCACGTAAGTGTAGGGTCTGCTCCCCCATGTAAAATGTGTCCAAATAATAACCCTTACTATAACTATTATTTAACTCATTTATCTGTTAAATCGTTTCGGCGAGGAGGGGAGGCGGAATGAGTGAATGACCCCACAACCCCCCCCCAAGTTAAAAAAAAACATTGAGTACACGAAAGCCAAGTTCCATGCGAGGGCGGTAGACCCCCCTCTGCCACACTGTGAGATATTCCCCCAAAAAACAAAAACACAAAACAAAAGAAAAACAAAAACCCACGGTTAGGATTAATCCTATGCCTGTTTTAAGGCCACTTGTACATGAATTGGGACTTACGCCATACCGTTGATAAACATTGGCTTCAGTTTGTCGAGGGCACTAACTGCGCCAAACGCATCAATAGCACTGCTCTTACATAAATCAGTGCGAGGACACTATATAAATACATGCCAGGTACTCATTGTAATTGCTCAACAATATGCCAATGTACGTAACGATACGACAGGTCTACCACACCCCGAAAATCTAAGTTAAGAACTAGATTTTTTAACTAGTGGACTCTTTTTACTAGCAGGGGGGAAAAAGTTCTGCTTGAAAACGCTTGGGAATTGACCCTGCCACTGTTAATGGTTTTTATCAGTTTGCTGCTTACGAATGCTTTACCCCCCCCCGAAAAGTCCTTCCTCTGGTGGGTGTAAATCCTGGGGGATAGCTTTCTAGAAAGATTTTCACATTCATAAACATTAAACAATCTATTGAAACTAATTTGCATTAAAACCACGGACCCTTTGCTTCGTGTAGACGTTGCCAATAACATTAGCAATTTTTTCATTAAAAAGGTTACAAAATTACATCTTAAGCTGGACTATTGGAGCTGAGCAGAGGATATCCACTGTTCTACTCGAACAATGGAGTGGTCACTGAACATGTTGTTTAAGGATATCATAAACGAAGGTTCTAAAAAATCTTGCATATTGGATCCAATGCCGGTTCAGCTTGTCATAGGCTGTCTTGATGTCTGTTACCAGTTCTCATAAAGATCACGAATTCTTCCTTGCAATCGGGTACATTTCCAAAGGATTGGAAGGAAGCTGTTATTACTCCTTTGATTAATAAAACGGGTAATCTAAACCCTGCTGAATTTCAGAATTACCGGCCTATTAGTAACCTTCAATACATTTCCAAACTACTGAGAGAGCTATGTTTAATCAGGTTCACAAATATATGGATCATGCATTGTATCCAACTTCGCAGTCTGCTTACAGGAGGAATCACAATACCAAGACAGCCTTGCTGAAAGTGAAAAGCAACATTTTGATGAAAATGAATTCCCAACAGGTCATTCTGTCACTGGTAGACCTCAGTGCGGCCTTTGACACATACGCCATTTTACTTATTCGACTTCAGTCTAAGTTTGGAATTTATGATGCTGTTTTTGATTGGTTTCGTTCTTATTTCAGTGTGAGGGGTCAACGTATTATATTTCATGAGGCTATGTCTGACAAATTTCATGTTAATTGTGGTGTTCAACTGGGATCTTGTTTGGGACCGTTATTTTTTATCATAAAAGCTGAGTTTCATCTCCCAAATATTCATTGATCCTTGTAGGCCTAGTGTTGCTAATCAGCAGCAGCTAGCTATACGCGCTGTGGAGGAATGTATACGTGACATACGTCAATGAATATTTCAGGACAGATTGATGATTAACGATTCTAAAACCAAGGGTATTTTATTGGTACCCAGCAGCCACTGTCTAAAATACCTTTATCAAATTTTAAGGTTAGAATGAAAACGTATCTCCATCTCTATATGTAGGTAATTTAGGCGTCATCTTCGACTCCAAGTTATCCAAGGCTAAATATATTCAGTGGGATTTCTCAATATTTATAATATTAAGCGAATACACAAATAACTAACTACTAATAATTCAACTGTTTTAATCCATGCTCTTATAACTAGTCGTTTGGATTACTGCAACAGCCTGTGTTACGGTTTACTGAATTCACAACTCACTGAATTACAAAGAGTTTAGAATGCAGCTGCCTGCCTTGTTCATGGTGTGACGGAATCACATCACACCCATATTAAATCAGTTACATTAGTTACCGGATTCTTTCAGGAGTCAATTCAAAATATTACTTTTTCCCATTTGAAACTCTCCATGGTATGGCACCACACTATCTCAGTGATTTATTAAGCATCAAAGTAAATTTGAAATATTCATTGAGATCAAATAGCACCATGTTAATAGATTATCCCAAGGGAAGGTAATGAATAGTTTTAGACGACGGGCTTTCTGCGTTGCTGCTCCCTCTTTGTGAAATTCTTTGCCAGTGAGGATCCGTCAAAGTTCGTCACTGACACGTTTTAAGATTCACTTAAAACCATACTTATTTAGAGCTGCCTTTGGAAAGTAGTTTCACTCACGTCTGGTTTTAATCCTTTTTTGTATCGTGATTGTGTATTATGTATAAGTTTTAAGTGTTTTATTAATTTATTGTGTTTTGCTTGTATAATGTAAGTTTTATTTGTAAAACTGGCAAGCGCATTTGAACATAATTATGGAATTTGCGCTGTATTTATTACTATCATTTTATTATTATATTTACCCCATCCACATTTTTTGAGGCGGGGTGGGATATTGAATCATCCTCCACACTTTTTTGTAATGAGCAAAAGAAAGCAGATTACAATATCACTAAAAAGGGGAAAAAATTGAACAGCCATAAATATGTCATTTTGATATAAGATTCTGGATGAATTTGATAGACATTACAGATGTACATCATTATGAACATCGCCCCCGTATAGTGTATATGGTGTCGCCCCCCCTTTAAATTTTCATGACCGGGTAAGTCATTCCCCTCACCTTTCCCCATCCCCCAATTTCCAGCGCAGACTTACGCCACTGTGAATTTCCTCTTCTCCCAAATCATCCCACACTTTGCTGGGCTCCCATGGTGGTACACGTAGTTGCTCAAACTTGGCACTGTTAAGCTTTATGGCGTGATCGGAGGTAGACCTCTATAGTTCGATTGTCCATTTTTATTTGCGCTCTCATGCGTTACTTGGCAGTCATGCCTCTTTTACAGTCTAATGCGTGTGTTTTTCCATGCAAATGTGGGCTACACCATGACGTGTTCACACAACTGGAGCACACATACATGTACATACGCGAACTCACGGCCTAGGCCGTGAGTTGTTGTGGACATAGGCCTAAGTGTTCGGTGAGAACATGTTTCTACCTCCATGGTTTGACGAAACTCCAAAGCTGGTTAGTGTGACACTTTATTAGGTATAATTTTAGTTTCCAGACTCGGGCAAGACTGAAGGTTTGTGCTGTCGTTGATGATTCTTACGGGCATATTCCGGGCGTGATCATGGAAGCAGAAGTGACGGAATGTATACACGCGCGCTTATGAGAATTCGGAGCCGCATTAATCATGAACCGGAGTAAAATGCAGGGCAAAATAAAAGTGTATTAACTAGATAATATACTATGTAGTTTTTTGTTTCAGGTTTGTTTTGTTTAATGTATGGTCCAATAGCTTTGCCAGAGCCTTCGTGATATCTGGAACTGACGATGCCTACGCCGTCAAAAGAGGAAACACCTCTTCTACAAGATGGAGTTAATGGCAGGGCCACGTGGGTGTCAGTGGCACTCTTCCTTGTCCTACAGATTCTCATCTTCATCCCCGGTGAAGCTGTGATGGCGACGCTTGGAGTTCAGTTTGCGCGCTCCTCCTTTGCCCGCGAACGCAACTTCACTCTTCCAGTGGGAAGCAATGCCTGCGGGACTGCCAACACGAGCCGCGAACTGACCGACATCCAAAAAGAGACCGCGCTGTTCTCAACCTATCAAAGCTTCCTGACCGATCTCATTCCGGTTTTGACTGGTTTGCCGCTCACAGCAGCTTCTGACTTCACCGGCCGCCGGCCCATACTCCTCTTGAGATGTCTGGGCCCGCTGGTTATGGCCGTAGGATTCTTGGTGGTATCCTTCTTTGAGTTGTCTGCTTACTATGCTCTCATTGGCTGTGGAGTATTTGGTGTCTCTGGAGGATTTGTCCTTCTGCACTCAGTCAGCATGTTATATGTGACAGACATTGTCTCCCCCAAGCAAAGGGGTGTGGCATTAGCCGCCATTTATGGCATCGAATATGCCGTTGTGTATTTAGCTCCACTGGGTTTGAACATGCTACTAGATGCACTGTCTTCGTTCAAAATCGTGTATTTAATCATCACCTGCTTCGCCGTGATGGCTCTCCTGTGGATGCTTCCGCCTGGCATCATACGGGAGTCGGTGAAAAAGCAGCCGGTAGATTGCCGTGGCCTTACTGAGGGTATCGTCCAAGGCGTCCGGGACCTTTTCGTGAATGCCACCGGAGGTCGGCGGTGGAGACTGGTAGTCATCCTGGCCTGCTATGCAGTGGTGAGCTTTAACTTGCACGGCTTCCAGAACACGGTTAATCTCTATGCTCTTGGAGAACCCTTCTGTTGGACGCCAACGCTTGTCGGCGTTTTTGCATTTGTTTACGGAGTACCAAATGCATTGTGTAAGTATGAGACCTGCACGTATTTTAATTTAAGACATCACCATTCAATCATGCATGCAATCTTTTAAAAGAGTTGAAGTGACAGGCTGATGAAAAATGTTTGAGAATCATTCTCTACCTTCATGGTCACTTCGAGACTGAGCTGAAATAAAATATTACTTTTAATTTGATTTGTCTGTCAAGTGGCACCCATCACAGTCTGGTTCATGGAGCTTTTTGTATCCGGTTATTGGGTGATTTATCTGAGCATCCTGTCAGGGATAGTGGAGTTCTTGTTGACGGCAGTGGCTACATCGAACGTGGTTCTCATTTATGGTGGTAAGGGAAAAACGCTCGTTTCCCCAGCTCTTTTCGTGTATAGGCCCATATACATGCAGTTCACTCATTCGCAGCTAGAATTCTTTACGAAATTCTACATAGTCACATAAACCGGCCTTCCGACGGTTTATCCATAGATTTACCCAGCATTAAGAACATTCATTTGCCGCAAAGATAGTTTTTCTGGTGAAGGCTTAATTAATTACAATATATCTAATTTATATTCATATCTAGTGTACTGAACAGTGGTGTAATTATATAATGGGGGGGGCAGCGAAATTCCCCCACCGCAATTTGAAATCGATGAATAATCTCTATTGAGTTTATTAGCAATACCAATTTATTTCCTAGGGTATTCCTTTGAAAAAAATGTATGCACCCCGGGTGCCCGCCGGACATTTAGCCCTAGTTACGCCACTGAAACTCACATTTCTAATAGGGCCTACTTAATGGAACAATTCACAAGTTGGAGCTTTAGTTTATACTACGGATGATTCCGGCTATTATTTGAACAATGAAAGTTTTGATACTTGGCTTCGATATTCAAGTGGATTTTAAGACCTGAACATATGTACACGAACTATGTATGTTCAAGGTTGTTGGCAATTTCTCAGACCATCTTGCTTTGTTTTCAGCTTCCTTAGGTGGCATTTTCTTTGGCATATCTCAGCCGGTGTATATCGCGCTACTCACAAGACTCGTCGCCAGAAAGTGTCACGGTGAGTGATGAAAATTCATTTGTAGCTGAGGGAGCGGTGTTGGCCTTCCCAGTGCAAACCCAAAGATTATACCGTTTCTTTGAAATAGAATTTAAATGCTGCCGTAACATAGACTCAATACACGCGAGATTGACGCCATGCTTGTTGGAACTTGAAGCTAAACAATCAAGCAGTACACGGTGTACGGTATTGCCAGTGTGAAAACCTGTTAAGTTACTGGTTTCTGGATCTTCAGAATTTCAGAGACAGATGTTTAATTCTGGATAAAGGTAAACTGATAACAGGAATTGTTAGAAATTAAAAGAAACAAAACATAAACAACCTTAAAACTAAACTAGAGAAAATATGTTTGTGAACAAACACATACCTGTTCCCAAAATGTGTTTTATTGTCTTTTGATGACTGTCAACGAGTACAAAAATTTGCAATTAATCACATTACAAATAATCGCCAGAGTGGCATGTATAACGAAAATAATTATCACTGCAATTGAACGTATAGTTCATGAGATATGACCGTATTTGTGTGTTAAAATACAACTTCCGGTCAAACCGAAAGTAGAAGTCACACGAGGTCAAGTTATCAATTTTCGTGTTTAACACGTCCCTGACTATGTGCATACCAAATGTTGAGTTAAATCGGTCAAATAGTTTACTAGTTATTAGACTGTAAAGAATGAACATTTGAATTGAGGTCACGTGACCCCTGATGACGTGACGACTACAAAAAATTTTGGGGCACATCTTCTGATGATTGTCAATTACTATAGTAAGTTTGAAATTGATCGGACTTGAAGTTTATGAGAAGTGATGATTTTTGTTTTCAAATATAACTTCCGGTCAAATGTATAGTTGAATGTTTAACAAGCTTATTCCCTCCTTCACAGGGGCGTTATTTTCGGTGCACACGTTGGTCTTTTCCCTCACCGCTGCCTCTTCACTCGTCGTCCAGAGTTACGCCTACTCTCTTGCCGTCCAGTCTGGTCATGCTGTTGTTCTCTTCTACGTCATGGCAGTGCTTAGTGGTGTTGTTTTCATACCAACGGTGTAAGTTTCCAATTAGGTACAAATGTACTGTCATACTGTTAAAATATACTTACGGATTCTGCAACTGTCAAAGTAGTTACCTGCCAAGAAAAAGGTGACATTTTTTTTTATCGTTTGGCACAAAATCTAATTTACTTATCAGAAATCACTTCGTAAGAAGACCGTCTGAGCCTTGTATGTTACAAACTGATACGTAAAACACATATTTCCACCCTCACGTACGTCTACTGATGCAGGTCATATAAAGTTTTGTAAAAACGTGGGTGGGCCTATTATATAAAGACAAAACGAGCAAATAAACCGAGGTTACATTGATAAAATGATACATGTATTACAGAGAAATTGTTGTAAAATAATCTTTGAACAAAATGTAAACATGAACAACGGCAAAAACGAAGCAATGCCTGTGTATAGTTATGGATAAAAACAGAAAAGGATGATAAACAGACATAGGCCCCCTATCTTGTGACTCAAACGTGACTCCTCCTACAAGCTATTTCCATGAAATCATAGGATTGCCGGTGGAATATGGTATTCTAAAGGTCAAATTTCACATTTACCTTATAATTACAGAAATTAATTTGAGTTCGGCTTGTGAAAAGAGCGACATCTGAAACTAAGGTGTTGCAAAGCCGTTCTAAACAACTGCAGGAGTTGATTTGCGGATAATCGCTATCGTTTTCTGCGTCGAAAGTTTCATGTTAGGTATAATTTAAGTCTTAAGGGGAGACATTTCTCAGCCGGATGAAGCTACTGATATTTTCGTTTTGGTTTTTTTCCAATGTAGAGTGGTGCACGTTTTGGAGCCAAAAGATGGTTTCCATCCTGATGCTGCGTCGGAAGATGGAAGTGAACAGAGCAAAGCCGATTCAACCAGTGGAGATACCGATAAAGACACATTCGCTTTAGCCCCATCATCCCACAAATGAACTTGCCTAATAATATGTATACCAAGCTGTTCTTTTTGGACACGTTTGCCGCATGTAATTTGTGTTAATATTCGCTTTTGATATTATAGCGTGACATCGCAAAAATCGGTTATACTGGTCTAACTAAGCTATCGCCAAGTCAAAGCTGCATATTTACCTCGGCATTTTGGATGCCAAAGAATATAGGGTAGTTTCGATGGAGAAATCTGACACGCAAAGAAATAATTTTCAGTACAACAGACAGTACCGGTAGAGACTGAAGCTATGGGAACTGTTTTAATATTCTGTTCAGTTTCAAGAAAATTACTTCATTTCCACAATTGGGTTTCGTTATATTTATACAATTATACAGAACCCAAATTAATGATCCGCAATCCTTCATTCGCACTGTGCAAGTGGTCACTTGCCCTGCCGAACACGCCGATTCTGCAGCCTTAATACTTCGATATTTATGCTGAATACTCCAACCAGCAAAAAACTGAATGGTTTCAAGGGCAATGTTTCGGTTGGTTTCTTTTTAAATTACATATCAATATAATAATAATTATAAATTCAAATTATACTCCACACGTATAAGGTATAAGCTAATGAATGAAATTAAATTACGCGTACAGATTATATGCTGCGTTTGTGCGGGCAACATACGTTCTGGTTAGGGCATTACCCCTAGGCCTTACTTTTGTCAGACCGAATCTGTTGGAAGTAACAGAAAAGAAAAAAAACAAGAAATGACAAATGTTTGACTCTGTCTGCTTTAATGTACCCGAGTACCCGTTTTGTCATAAATTAGTCCCCTCTGTAAAAAATCTTTCAAATTGGTGTGGACGTTTGAAATGCAAAAAGTGTCTATGATATCCGAGAACGTGCTGAGAGTACATCACCTCTTGACCAGTTGGCAGCCATGTACTGCTAGCTTTCGTTGACAAATTCAATCTCGTCAAATATAAACTATCATCCTTCAGCTTTCTCAACAGAACAAGATTTCAAAGACTTTCAGGTGAAACTGAGAAGCATTCTAAAGGAGGCATCCTCTCGTTTTCATTAACAATCTGACCATTTGAAAACATACTACCTGGTAGTCAGATGTATTGTTGAAATCGAGAAGTTTCATTTGCATGTGCAGTTTGTTTTTGTCTTGAGCCAAATTTCAACAGTCCTAAAAATGCGATAAATGCTTTACAAGTAAGTGTGACCCATTCAAGGCAGCAAGGAGCTGCATGCAGCGCTCACGGTCTAAAAACGGACAATTAATTCCCTCTACATTTCACAGTTCCTGATGATTAATTTTTTTTCTAAAAGGCTACGAAGTCGACAAATGGATTTTTTTCTTTACTGTTTTTAGTTGAGCTCATGCTGTTGTATTTTGACCTTAATTTCACTCAAGTTATTATTAAAGAGCCACATCACCACCAATTACCCATGTTAGTACTTTTACACATATATACTACAAGATATTTCCAATTATAGTTGGTTAAAACTTGCTTTTCAATGCCATCTGATAGCATTCTCTTCTAGCCTTCTCCAATCTGCGGCAGAAATGTGTAATTGAAAGCCATTCCAAATACCTACTACATGTATTTCTGTTATTCAGAAGCATAAACATCAAGCTTAACTGCAGCTTAACTGCAGTTGAACGATAATCCTTTGGCAGGAGAAAAAAAAATAATTAAACTTATTACTTGAACTTAGCCTGTGTAATCTGCTCTTGGAGAACTACCACGAAAAGTAATATTTACTTTTCATACAATACACTCTAAAATATCTTTTTCTAATATCAAACTTATCTTTCAATACTTTAGGTAAGTAATCTTACTTTGAGATAAAAATACGTGAATCATAATTATCTTCCAGACACTACAATCCCTCACCATTAAAATCCTAGGTAATATTACTGGTTAGTGGGATTGAAGAGCGATGAAATTGCTGCACTATGTTGAGTAAGACAAAGGACAAATAGGGCAATGACATCTAAATTAAATATCAGGAGAAAACTGTTAACATAAATGCTGTTTACAAAATGTTAAAAGAAAATCAATACCATACCCTCTACACACCCAGAGACAATCCCTGTTCTTAAATTTTAACCCATTGTTTATGGAAAGGCCTTGCACCGGATTGCATGTACAAACAGTGTTGTTGACTTGAATCACAGACTCGGTTTGCAATATTTTGAAATCAAAACTTACGGAAACATAATATTGCAACATGAACAAAATTTGAGTTGCTGACTTTACCAATCTGCAAAGTGTAAAAAAAAAATTCACAATGAAAAATACTGCACCTTCACAGATTTTAAAATGTGGCAAAAGGCCAGGAACTTTCCAATTCTCACAGAAAGATTCTGCTTCAGTCTCCAAATCAAGTGGCTCCAGAGTCGAAATTCTGATGTAGCCTCACAGAATTTGCAAAGCTCCGATGAGCACAATAATCTGCTTAACTGTTAGGGAAATATCTGCATCGTCTCTCCCTGCAACTAGCTGGGACCAATGCCATCAATCTGCCAAGTTTGAAAGTATTATCCCAGCAAATATCTGCTTGGCACAATAGGTTTACCACTCTACAAAATCATGGTATGTATATTGCCTGTGATTGGTACCCTGCTATTTGTGCTTAGCACATAAATTTGCTGTTTCAAGGCAAGGATTTTCTGCTGAAAGACTCTCTGGAATTTGATTCTGCTAATCTGGGACAACTGTTGATCCATGTCAATCCTCCATCACTACCTCAATGCCAGCACCGTCCAGCTCCACACTATGCACTGTGAACTCGTGAGCACCCTGGGGATTGAGTGACAAAAGTTCAATTCATCATCAGCAAACAAAGAATAGCTTGGTGCCTTGGGTCCCAGACCTGACCCGAGGTTGCTCTGTGACATACCTTGCACCTGTGCATCTCTTTACTGGTACTGAAGTGCGACCGTCTTATTCAACTAAACAACGGTCAGGTGCAATCAGGGAAAAAGCTGACTGTTTTTCAGCTGGCATAAACTTGATGATTACAATGGAGTACCACACATGGTCTGTATTGGGCTAAGGTTTAAAATGATAGGGAAAAATGTCTGAGTAGCAAGTTCATGGGTTTCAACTTAATTCCTGGATTTAAAGAGTCTGGGGAGTTTCCTTGGTCATGTTGATATTTCGTTGCCCGTGCCCCGAGTTCAAGTCCCAACTGAGCTGATGTGGATTGGATTCCGCGTCCAAATCCAATTCTTTTAGTTTGCTCAAGAATGTTTCTCTAGGGCTTTTTTCCAACTCCCATTTTCTGCTCTTTTGTTTCTGCTGGTTTGCCAGCTACAAACCGAGGGTGCCTTCTGAGGGGCATGCAGTTGCAACACCTGAAAACAAATAATCCTAGACAAATCCTACCAAGTTTTATTGTCAAACCTACCTCCAGAGAGCTGAGTATCTCTGTGACTTTATCAATAGCGTTGGGCTCCTTGGTCAGCACATACATGAAGCCCCCGCCCCCTGCACCAGCTAAACACTGACCGTAGACGTGTGCCTGCAGAGCCGCCATCATGCGCTGGACTACCAGTGGCTCGCTCCCTGGAGCCATGACTTTCTTCTGAGACCAGTAAGTGTTCATGCATGCTCCTACTTTCTCAAAATCACCTGTAAAGAAGAGGATGAATTTCAGATGCAGACAGAAAAGGAAAACCTGCAGTCAGGCATGCAGTATTTTCACTCTGAATCCTGCAGTATTTTCCCAGTTAATACAAAGTTGCCAGACGTAAAGGTGATTGCTCATGCACACGAGAAGCTTGCCAATGGATACAAACAATCATTCTTGGGTCCAGAATTTTGATATGATATGTTGCGTGGTTCTGAATCAGTCGTCCTAGAGCAGAAGTCAATAGGCTTCTCAGTCCTACTTAAATCCAGCTATGATGATTTAAATTCTGATAGTTAGTTTTTGTATCAGGATAAAAGGGTTATATAACAAGAATGTTGGAATCCTGAAGCACACTCTGAACGTCTACTATTTAAAAAACCACTGCAAGGAAAGTTAGTACCTTCTTCAAATGCCTTCTTGCATTCCCAGGCAGTCTTTGTCAGATTGTCACAGTTCTCAACAATATACGGCGATCTTGCATACCAGTTTCTGACAACATCTTGCAACAAGTTCCTGTGTTGGTTAGATTAAAGACAAAAAACATTGCTCCAAAACAAGCTCTAGTTTACTTTTTACACCATTACAAAAGACAGAAAGGGCTATTGGGTATTGCGATTAGTATCAGTCAGGGAATAGATTCTGTGAGCTGCTGGCTCTGTGCCAGCTGAGCAGATGATCCTCTGTGGCACAACAGCCAAGGAAGGATAGCTAGTGTGGACATGGTGAGCCAATGGCACAGGGTGCTTGCAACCAAATAACTTGTGACTGAATGTGCACAAAAGCTCATAAGGTGGCAGGAATGTGGGACTACAAGATAAACAAGAGAAAAAGTGTGTTTCATTGATTTATAGCACTTATTCTTGCTTATGAAAATGTAGCATTGGTACTAAAACTCATGGGTCAGCATGTGAACTTGCCTGAAAACCAACAGGTGTGGAGGGACAATCCAAGTCATACATTTTGAAGTGAAACTTTTCCTGAAAGCCAATTTCCATGTTTTTCGCCTCATTTACAGACCTTTTGCAGAGTGCCAATGAACAAAGCAAATTTCACGAAAGCAATTTTCTACTTTTATGGCTCAAATGAGGTATCAAAAAACCATTCCAATGAGACAGTGCGCACCAACAAAAGCAGCTTCCGAAATGCAACAGATTAAACATTTCAGTATGCACTACTGCAATTCATTGACAAGGAATGCAACAATCGAAGTATAAGTTTCCACACCCTGACATGAAAATCAACTCCTCAGCTGTGGCTGACTGGAACCAACAAAGGACTGACCTGGCTAGTCTAGTCTTGCCAGTGTATACCAGCAAGAAGTGCTCATTGAATTTGCGTTGGATCTCTTCACTCAGCGGGATGGGGGTGATATCCACTTTGAGGGGAAACTTGGCTTCTGAGTGTCCGATATTGAGGCCAGGGGTCAAACCTGGTGTGGGTGGTCACATTTTTGGAAGGAAATTTGCACAAGAAGTTCAGCAAAGCATTTCTAGTCAATTATACAGCAATTCAAACTTCAAAACAAAAGAGGATTTTCCAAGAATAAATATCCTCAGAATTTAAGGTGTTCCAGTATATAGACCATTTACACATAGAGGTGCACACTAAATTCAAAGGAAGACATTTCAAGTGAAAAACAAGGGTGAGATCGGAAGAAAATGAAATATCCATTTTATAAAGAGTAAAGGTTTTGAGTCTGGCCTCCAGCAGCGCAGGGTCCATGGTTTACATTTGTGTTTGCCTAAAGTCACCTCTTAAGTAACTGTTCTTGTATTCAATATCAACTTTAATTGTGTGTAAAAACACCTGAAATGGTAAGCTCTAGATTTTCCAGATTTTAAAAGCAATTGTTTGTTAGGAAGTAGGGAAAATCCAAATATAAAAATCCTGACAAACCTCAACCCCGGAGAAACCATGCTAGGGACACTGACTTTCCCTGGGAACAAACATTCTTTGTTCTAAAAAGATTTGAAAGGCTCGCAAAGTGTTGAGAAAAGGTTGGCAACCATTCCTTATCATGACACTCCAAACCCATCTTTTATATTTCTACACACGCTTGCATGGATTTTCTTAGACTTCATCTCCTTTGTTTCAGAAAAGGACCCAGCAAGGCTGCAGTCTAGGAACCAGACAAAGATGGCTGCCATATGCCATCTGGCACACTGACCTCCAACCTGGTCCTGCCACCCTCCACCTGTGGTCAACATCTGCTCCACCAGCAGTACCTGAAACCAACCCAACACGATATGAAACTAGAATGACTGATTTCCCTTGATTGGATGAAATTGGGCGAAATATTATTCTAAATATGAACTAAACTTAGCTCAATGGAAATAAATTGTGTATGTTTGAAATATACAGTCCCACTGTATTCCCGCTTTCCTATTTCCCTCCAAGATTAATTAACCTCCACTAATTCGCCATTATCTAAATAAACCCTTTTCTAATTCCTCCTCAATTTATTTTCCACTCTTCAATATATTACCTCTGCCCACGTATTTTTAATATCAGTGTTCACTATGAATGTGCAATAAACTCTAGCAATCCCTCTTCCATAATTATATGATTATACATCAATTTGAATTCTTTGACCTCTAAGCATAGAGCCTGAAAGTTGACCCCTGATGGCACACTTCCGGAACCCTTGGACAGGATAAATAATGTGCAAAGATTTTAGAATTAGTAATTTTGTTTTCGTTCAGTTTTGTTTTAAAAAATCCAACTTGGAAAAAGGGCTTTGAAAAATATTTGGTAGTATATCAATTTATAGAACTGAAAAATCACCTGACCTAAAAGAGAAATATCCTGCCAAAAAATGACCCATCACTTCCTAAAATCTAAAATACATGAAGAACAGTGCAATACTGCAGTCTTGTACACAGATGAATATTTACCGTTTGAAATTTTATGATAGTCTGTGGGTAAAAACCAAATTAAAACAGATCAAAATATTTTGCAAATTTTGATAATTTATAAGGTAATAAACATAAAGCAATATTCTACTTCACGAAAGATTCTAATATTATATCTAACCTTTGCTGACAACATTTGCCTGATGTCAACTCAACGGAATCTGGAACCCATCGACTGCAGGTAGGCATATCTTTATAAATAAATCTAATATCGCCGGACATGAACAGTCGTTAATAAAATTAATTTTTACCCACTCCAGGTGACTTTTCCAAAATATTACTTGAGGAAGACAAAAGTAAAATTCCAACATGAGTATTTCATGGAGTGGTTTCAGTAGGAAATTATCTTTCCAAAAATTATCGAACGTGATAGGACGACCCCATGTCAAATCCCCATAGGCAGACCGTGCAAGGGTTCTGGAAGCTAGCTGCATGACCTTTTACTTTCAGGCTCTGATGTGCTTTGGATGTCTATAATGTAAGAAACACCATTGCTCTGTTGATGACAGTGCAAAGTGGCTAGATGTTGAAACTCACTGCATGAATGAGGGAGGAGTTATCGTAGGTCTTTCCTGAGATGCGCCATAAGACCGCGATGGCTGCGCCGGCTAAAATACTACTAGTCCCAAGACCTGCAGGGAAGGAACAAACTTCCTATCAAAAGAGAGCATGTACATGTACATGTATTTACCTAGATGCCTCTCAGGGGACCCATATCATTATTATATGCCAAACAAAGCATTCCTAAAACCATCTGAGCACAATATACATGTAAGCTCATAAACTGTCACTCTGAGGGGTAAATAGGGGTCTTCCAACGGTACATCAGTCTCTGCTTGCACAGGATTCCATGAAGAGCTGCATTTATAATAGAATGTATTGCTCAAGGAAATGAATACCATAGTGGATTGCACTGCTCTATGTCTACTGATGAAATTTAATATCGGATTCGAACTAACCAGCAAACCCAATTAAATTAGTGGTTGAGAGGTCTACAATTGCATTGTGAACAGAAGGTCATGGGTTCGATACTCATCTGAGGAAGCCTGCGGACATTCCCCCAAAGCTAGCAGAGAGCAATGAATACACATTGCTTGTAACATTATATCAACAAGGGACAGAAATACCCAAGATGGCAATTTACCTTCCTATGTTAACTGTGAACTGACCTGATCCTTGGGGGAGATCTGACCATGTGTTTAGCTCGATTCCTCCTCCATATTTCCTCATCAGCTGCTCCTGTAAAGACTCGCAGGAAGGAAGACTTATCACCTCAGCACAGTGGACTGCAGCTTTCAACAAGGCACCTCCAGAAAACCATGTGCAAAAAAGAAACATGCAATTTGTGTTTGCGCTAACATGACGTTGATGTCGTCCATGGGAAAATGGTTGGAACTAGGCATAGGCCAAAAATCATAAGGCAAAAGGCATTGACTTTTTTTTGTCATGTTCTATTCCACTGAGAGTGCTCAAGTGTCTCAAGGCAGATGCTAGTCCAGCAAAGTAATTACCTGAAGACCGTGGATTAGCATAGTCCGAACAATCAGACAGCTCCTTACAGACAATCTGAACAGAGTGTTCTCGATCACTGCCTAGTACCAGAACAAGATGAGGCCTACAAGATGGGAAAAAACAAAATCTGAGGGTGACATGTACAAGTGACCTTTTTTGTCCAATTAGAATAGGAGTGTCCCTCATCGGCAAAGAAGGGATTCTGTGAAGATCATTTCAACAGGCTGCCTGACGCACCATCAATGAACATGCATTCCAACAGGAACTGGTCCACCATACTCTGTACACCCAACACCAAGCAGGCATAAGCATGTGCACACATGCAGTCTATTCTCACCAAAAGAACATCATCGCTGTGTGAAACACGCCATTTCTTTCTTCCTGCACTGAGCAGTCAGCTAGTGAGACAAAAACAAGTTTAATGTTAATACCATTTGCACTGTGGCAGCCACTGATGTCTACTCTGTGTCTAGTCCCAGCCTGGTCGACATGTGGATTGGGTTTCCAGTCCCTACATGATTCAGTGAGCTTTACTCAGAATATTCCTTTGTGGTTTTCCTCCCACCTCTAAAACTGTAACTGCTTCTCGTTGTCTCCTCTCTAAAGGTTTCTTCAGGCTTGCGAGCTACAGTGCTTAGGGAGCTTTTGAGTAATTCTTGATGCCATTACCAGAAATGATTGAAAATAATAATAATAAACTTGGTATTGTGTAAAGATCTCTAATATTCCTAATTAGACAAACCGAAAATAAGAAATTTGTGACCTGTCACCACAAAATGAGCTGAAAGTCAGAATTTTCAAAATTGAGATATCAGTGTATTTGAATTCAGCAGAAGGAGAGCTTTCCAGTAGTCTGTACATGGAACACTCGGGTAAAAGTATAAGGTGACAATGTGATATTTATTCTGGCAGTATAAAGTTTCAGGTGACATTGTGACATTTATTCTGGCAGCTTTGCATCTTTGTTCCCGATACTATTTCTACATTTCTGACGGGGTACGAGTGACGCTATCACTGAAATTGCTGAAAACATGACATTTTAAAAATCTGATCGTGCAAAACAATTGGAATTAAATAGACAGGTTGTTCTTTCCAAACATGACCAAACCCGAAAATTGACATTCATTTCAATATTTGACTTTGATCCCCAAAAATAAGACAGAGCGAAATACAACGTTATGATCATTTTGTCGTGCCGCGTCACATTTGATTTTTGTTATATTGATATTACACATACTATATGTTTTTTTCATAAAACCAAACTACATGTACACACAAAAAAGATCTCGCACAAACTCTGAAAACCACACACCATTGGTATTTTTAAACTTTGTTCATGGGCAATTGCAAGAGAAAGTGGACATTTGGTCATGCTATTACCAACTTCATTCTTAATAGCAATTCATGAAGAGAAAGCAGTTCTGCAAAAAGAAACAAATGAAATGAAAGTACGTGTATTTCCACTGTTTTTCATTATAAATACTTTATTTTGAAGGATATCATAATGAGGTTGGTAAAAGCAAGACTAATATTTTACTTTTGCATGGAATTTGCTCATTTGCAACACAAACCTTGTGTCAAGAGCCAGGTCTTCCATGGTTGCAGGTCCAAGGTCACATGCCGATATAAATGGCCAGAGCTATCCGCTTTAAGCAGAAGCACCCCCTCGTCAGTTGAAAATAGCCATGTTGGTGGGAAGTGTTCATTTATTGGTAGAGATGCGACCATTACATGTGGTTCATTCCATGAAGTTCGGGCATAGTTTGTGATGGCGTCCCTTGTTACATCGATAACTTTATTGCCCATTATTTTCACATTAAAACAGATTAAGTCATTATTATTCGCCAAAGATGAAGCACACAACTACAAGAACCTAGCCAGATTTAGAACAATGTCAATTTAGAATCCACATGCACAGAAAACAGATGTTTATTTTCACTGATGTAACAAGGGACGCCGTCACAAACTGTACCCGAACTTCGTGGAATGACCCATGTGCATATCAAGCAAAGTTTACTTCCCACCAAAGGAGCCTACGTAGCCAAGAAAATTGCACCCTCTCTTGGTCCAGCTTGGGCCTCATTACAGCTCATATTGGATATGGCCATATTCAATGAAAAAACAACACATGAATGCAGCATGCATGATTTACAATTTATAGATATTCATTCACAATTTACAGAATGATGACCTGTGCTTGAGTATATATATACATGTATCTTACTCTGGTATCTTCCTGGCCCGGGCTACTGTTGGCTTCTTGCCGTCAATTCGGATTGCAGCATCGACCACTGCACCGCCATGCTCATACGTGATTGGAGGAGTGTCTGACCAGCCTCCGGACACATCCATCCTACCCGGGCAGGAAGCCCGCACCCATTTGTTCATTGGTGGTGATTCCCCGGGTTGTGTGGCAATGAACTGGGGGGGGGATATATCACACATCCAAGTTGTGAGAGAGATTCAGTAAGGAATCAATTTTGAATATTCTAAGAAGAAAATCCATCAACAAGTTTCTTGAAATCTCCCTTTTGCTTTTGGTTTGGATGTTTGCTTCACGAATCAATGTACCGGTAGTACTCAAGTCAAAAACTAGATTACAGAAAATTTGACTTGAGTCTGCCATTATTGCCTCTGCCCCTTTTCACTCAATTTGGTCAGGGGCCTAGTTAAAAACCATCAACATTACTACAACTTATGAGACATAACTATAAGCAATCACAGCCTACGGAAACTCCCCACAGCAGGCTCACTGACTCACCTCCCTGGCTGTCATGACAGCAAGCCTGATCAAGATCTGATTCCCTCCTTCGTAATGTCTGGCTGCTCTGACCAGTTTGTCGGGTCGACCCAGCCAATTGCTGCGTTCCTTGGTCAAGGCTCTCATGCCCTCACATAGCTTCCCTTCCTGTGGATGAAAAGATTCCAAGTAAAGTGGCACTGTGACTTTGCATAGGCCTAATTTTGGATAGAATGTTGCAATGTAAAATTCTACCATAGGTCATTACTTTTACCTGTGTAACCTTAAGGCTGTATCCCAGTACTAGGCTATGACTGCATGAATAATACATGTGCCTAAGGAAGCTGCAAGCCAGCAGCTTCATGTATTTCCCATAGATGCATGCATTTTTGCAAGCCGTAGCCAAGTAAATTGGACATAGCTTGCCTGGTAATAAACAAAATCCTCTTTTCAAACCAAGGTCTGTGGGAATTGAACCAGCCAGCTGACCATGACCAGTGGTTGTATCTGCATCTGCTCCAGTAAGAAGCTGATAGAAGGTTTGAGTCCCACCTGAATCAAACTGAGATTGATTCACAATCTCTGGGAAAGTCCTGCACACACAGTGCTTCCTAACATCACATTCAAGGCACTGCAGTACTGAACCACAACATTTCAGGAAGTTCAGAAACACACCTTGAATTTTCAAATTTCTTGGATCTCATCACTCACTATGCTGGGTTGCCAGCCTTGAATCCTTACAGCATCTGTTCTATAATTTGAGTAGCACAAACACCAAGTCTGGTTTTAAAACCTCAGAAACCCATACCTTTGAATGAGAATACCAATGTGCATTTTAATGAAGGCTAATTACAACTATGGTGCGCTTCTTGCAACACAGTGGTGAAGTCTAATAACCCTGCAAATTGTCAGTATTCTCCAAGTTTAGGATTGAGGTTTTGCAAAAGTGCAGCAGCTAGATAGAGCCTGGCCACTTGAACAGGGGTCTGCTACTTTTTGTCTCTGCTACCCCTTGGGAAACAAAGAACAACACACATGTCTATGGGTATTTCTACATAATGGAGACATTTGAAGGGTTCCAAGCAAAACTGGCCCTGGCTTTTACCTCCAGCAGCTGGTAGGCACGTATTCTCCAGGTTTAGGATTGAGGTTTTGCAAAAGTGCAGCAGCTAGATAGAGCCTGGCCACTTGAACAGGGGTCTGCTACATTTTTGTCTCTGCTACCCCTTGGGAAACAAAGAACAACACACATGCCAATGGGTATTTCTACATAATGGAGACATTTGAAGGGTTCCAAGCAAAACTGGCCCTGGCTTTTACCTCCAGCAGCTGGTAGGCACTTTTCCAGGCAGGATTAGCTGCCGGTCCACTTCGCAGTCCTCCCTTCCCATCAGCCATTGCAGCAAGGATGTTGGCGATAAAAGCTAAGCCACGGGCAGCTATGCTAGGCGAGTTGCTCTCACATATTCCTGGCAGAGGTGTTTATAACCAAAAATGGTAGGTCAGGGAATGTCTCAACACTACACAAAGACATCAAAACAAGTTAAACAGAAATCATTCTGAAAAATCATTGAGTTATTTAAGACCCCATGATACACATAATCTTTTGATGTGACTATTAATCTTTATCCTTCCCTCTGGCTTTACTGTATGACAAATTTGATCTGATCTCACTCAGTTCTTGTAAACACCAATGCTCAATGCCCATTACGTCCGAACAATCCTTGATGAAAATAATAAGTTTTTTATATCTAGCGCATTTCATAACTGGGAGAAACCTCAATACACTGCACAATGAAATTTTACATAATACAAACGACAATCTACTTGTCTATCTACAAATCTATAGTCTACATAATAAACAACAGGTTATACAACATTAATCGGGGATGAGGATGGTGTTAACTAAGCAAATATATTTTATGTTTTATGAGTCCAAATTGGTTTCATGCCTCAATTTGCTGCCGTAGTGAATTCAATAAGTCTGGAGCTATTTTCTGACAGGCCCTTCCCCCAAATGACTTAGTGTTAACATTAACTGGAACCAGTAGGTTCTTGGATTGTGAGCAGAAGTTACTTGTGGCTTGTAAGGTAGGATTAATTCGTTAAGATATTCCGGAGCTGTTCCAGACAGGCACTGAAAGACAATAATGAGTGCTTTAAATTTAAGTCTACACTTAATAGGCAACCAATGTAGGTTTAGTAAGAATGGAGATACATGCTGAAACTTTCCCTTCTTCATCACTAATCTTGCAGCAGAGTTCTGTATTCTTTGCAGCTTTGATAGATCCTTGTCTGGAAGACCATAGAGTAAGCTATTGCAATTGTCCAGAAGCAATGATACAATTGCATGTGTAAGAAGTTTGGTTGTAGCCTTGTTGAGGTAGGGTCTAATCTTGCCAATTCGTTGGAGCACTAAGGTGGAGTTTCTGCAAGATATCTCATTAATTGACCACTAACAACCTGTTCAATGAATTTTTCTGGGAGTGGAAGGTTTGATATGGGGTGATAGTTTTTCAGGTCTTCTGGGTCTTGCTTTGGCTTTTTCCGTGTAGGTATAACCATTGACGACTTTAGTGAAATCAGGAAAGGTTCTGAGTTCTAAGGACTGATTAGTTATGTCAGTGATAGCAGGAAGAAGAATATCCATGCACTTGGTAAATACATTGATGACAAATACCAATGATCAACATTATGGGTCCTAGTCTTTTCAATCAGCTACTGCTCTGATATGGAACAACTTACCAGATGCTGTCAAACATGCCAAATCAATTTATCAGTTCAAAAACTGGCTCAAAACATATCTATTCAAACTCTACCATTGTTGTCCCAAGGACAGCGCAGAGGGATCTCACTATGATATGCGCTTATAAGTATGGTTTAGTATTATTATTGTCATGACTGGCCATCTATTAAGGAGGTCCGCTTAAATTATTAGTTTAAGGATGCCAAGGCAAGGAAGACGGGCAGAAAGAGTCCAAATGTAACTGTCTCAAAATGTACAGAGTTTTATTTACACGTCAACTTTTGGGGGTTAAAATATCTAGGTTTGATTACTATTCAAATCTCTTGTTATTCCTTCATTTTCTTTACATGAAATTCCATATTCCCTGATTTCCAGGCTAGTGTGCGGCTGTAGACTTGGCCTTCCAGACAGCACTCCATGGTGCCCACATTGGAAAGGAAGAGTACACTCGCCCACCGCACCATCTTGGCAGGTATTTGTTATACATTTCTAAGGGCTTGCATGTCAAATAAACTATGGTGACCCCTAAAACACGCTTCCCCACATTATTATAACCCATGTCCGAACAATCTTTGAAAAAATAAATGATGCATGAACAATACCTTTTAACTTATCTAAGTATCACATTATGCTTGGAATTTCAACCCCCCCCCGAAAAAAATATAGTTTACTCTCCATTGGACTATTACTTATAATGAAATATCAGTATCTATCCTACATATAAAAAAACACCACCAATCTTCTCAATAGAGGGCCTGCGTGGAGCACCCTCACAGATAGGTTATGTTGGCCGAGTTTGGGCGGCTTGTTCCCGTATGTTTATGAACAGTTCAATTTGTTGTTTATGGGTCGGCCACTCGAAAGCCAGGAACAAACAACCGGTTATCGCTGGTAGTTAGTGACAAGCAACATGCAACATGGAGGCATCCATGTAGGCTACATTATTCGAGAGTTAATGTTTGGATGGGCGGAATTATTTTCTATATAAACAGGAACATTCATTTCTGTGTTATGGAAAATAATTAATGTTCATTTTGCAAAACTTCCTATTGTCTATGGCTTTGGAAGCCATCTCTCTACTTTTTGCAGCTGTTCAAAAATCAAAATCTCACAAGTTTTTCCGTGCGTTCCTTTAAAACCCTGACGAGGAGGTGGTGTGTGATCCTGTTCTGAGAACAATGTTCTTGACTCCCGTTTCTGGCGTTTGAGCGCGGGAACAAGAAACCTGTGTCAAGAGCAGGCCGCCCAAACTCCACCGTTTTGTTAGATGACAATGAAGTACAAAAGAGTGTACTCAAGGATATCACACAGGAACAAAGACCTGTCCTCTGTAAGAGGACTCTACGCAGGCCCTGTTCACTTAATAATTATCTTAGAGGCTTACCTTGATCAACCGTCTCCAATATTTGCACAGCGTAGCCCTCGACGGCAGCGCTTCTGAGGAATGGCATCAAGATCTGATTGTCCCCAGCCAGCAGAACATCCTTTACCCTGTGCCTGCCCATGCCATAGAACAGCTCCCTAGGACGTGTAAAACATCTCTAGTTGGACACAAATTCCAAGTGGCTGTTGACAGCTAAAACATATCTTTGTTATCCTTTCACCTGTCTAGGATATCGACTTTCAGGCCTTTCCCCCCCTTTTTTCCCTGCTACTCACAATGAAATAAATTTAATGAATACAGGTAGCAGACGATATGCATGCAATATAAATGTAGCCAAACGTTAACCCTCGGGACGGTTTGTTAAAATATAGTTTATTTAGTTTATGTAGTTTGTTTCATAAAATTACTTTTGTTAAAAACTATTGGGGGGAGGGAAAAAGTTCATTTTTGAGAGCTGTTTTATTAATAAATTATTTTTTTTTCATGTACCATCCACATGTACATGTAGGCCCCCATTTGTCCTTATCCCTGAGAACTGTAAACAGGTTAAAGTCAACAGAGTCAATAGCAGAGGGTTTCATTCTAGTTCAGTGGTTTGGGTTTTTATAGAGCTGCACGTCTGCCATCAAGCAACCACAGGGAACCCAAGTCCAATCAATACCATCAACATTGGCCAACATGTTTGTCAGCTGTTCAATAATAGAGTGGCCTTGGCAAATTAGTCTATATGAAAAGTGAATATGAATGAGGTTGCTATTACTTGAGCCAGTCAACCGTATCCTTCATTTTGTGTGAACACGAATGCATGCATGTGTATTGTACGTGATGTTTTGAACCACTAGTGCTACATAACACAATGTACACTGACTAGGGCCGTGCCGAATTATCAAAATCAATTATCAATACTCGAATATTTTCCGAATTTGAATATTCCAGTGCAAAAATTCATGAAAAGGAATGTAGAATTTTCTTGTTTAAATGAGAAAAACTTGCACTATGTACGCTTGTTTCAAGCAGATTCAAATGATAAACTACAGAAATCTTATGATTCAAAAAGTACATTATTCACTACAAAATTTAAAAGGAATGGAAATTTCCATGGCAAGAAGTATTGTTCATCTCTTAAATCTTGCTTAATCATGGCTGGAGATACACTTAGAAGTGAGAAGCTATTAAAGTGATTATAATGCACAATTGTGTGCATTATTGCAACTGATTTTGTGTATAGTTTGTTCATCAACAAGCTGTCAGTCGGTATGACTGAATATTCAGATATTCAATCAAACCGAAGGTCGAATATTCAAAAACCTGGAATAATTCAATTGACTCAGCCTGCAAACTAACTGAAGAGCAAGTCTGAGGCAGACACGAATATACACAGTGGACGGAATATCTTTGTTAGTATGTTTATTTAAGGCACACCACAATCTGAGACGTTGCCATTTTTTCATTTCTACACAAATCTTGATAATTTCCAACAAATACCAAATATTTGTCAAAACTGGTCGAATATAAATGCCCAACTAGGGATTACATGCTCTAGAAGTTACGCTCGCATGATATTTGAAAGGAAGTCCATCTCAAAAATGTCATATTTGGAAAACTGGAGGTCACATAGATACAAGTTATGAAGGCACACTATGAAAGTACATTATGCCATTATGCAAATTTCCTGCATCAGTAACAGTCTATACATATGAATTTATCTTCAAGCAAACTGGAGTTCCCAATTCTGATTAGTCCATTCATGGCAACAAACAATGTGACCTATAACTATATTGCACAGTGCAAATCAAACCCCACGTGATAAGAAATTTTACCTTCGTGCAATGTGCTGGTTTTACATGAAAGGCAAAACGTACAGCTGCAAAGTTTACTGTAAATTCAAACCTGGCACATTTTTTGTGGGTTGGCGTAGTGGTTCTTTCCTTGTGGCCTGGGTTCGATTCCTGGCTTGGTCCACATGTGAATTGGGTTTTCAGTCTCTACTTGATTCTGTGGTTTTCACCCAGAACATTCTTCTGGGGTTTTCCTACCACCATTAAACTACTTCACATTTGAATGTGCCAAAGTCTGCAAATGTTTGAAACCGGTGCATCTCTAAGAAGAATTTTTTTCAGAAGCCTTACATGAGTCAAGTTTGCTTGAAGATAAATTTATCATCACGCTCGTGCTCATGCCACATGAAAAAACATAGCGTGTCGGTGTCCCGTATATCACTCGGCTGAAAATACAGGATGCAGATGCACTACATTATTCCGTGTTCCATTCAACCTCATGTGATGACTTTAAGAACCATGAGGGACTATATTGAGGCCAACCAGGATACAGACATAGTAAGAGGTGTCATCAAGTGACATTTTGATAAAAGAAATATACTGTACTTTATTTCTCATGTATTTGAAAATATTATCCTGAAAAAATTGTTTGTGTGTTTTGTTTTCACAAACCTTCTCCACGCAAACTCTGCCGAGAGGTTTACACATGACAGGATGTCTTCAAAGGAGAGACGCCAAGACAAGCGCCACCGTGCGAGCATGCCAGCATCTTGCCCCCCACCTTCTAACCACAGCGTCTCGGCAATGCCCACATCCTCCCTCAGGTTCCAGACTGGGAAGAGCTTGGCATTGAACAGGGTGCGATCGTAGTCTGTCTACGGTGTCATCACAGAGGAAGGGGAGGGCAACAGTGAGAATTTATCTGCTTAGCAGTAATGAATCCATTCGTAAAGCTGTGTCCAGGATGTGGTGCTCAGCAAAAAAAGTTTTCAACACATTCATGTGCCAATTGAAACTTGGCAGGGAACCAGTCAACAGCAGTATCTCCCGATTTTTAATTGGTAAACTACTTTTGCTGCGGAAGCATGTATGTGCAAATCACAATTCTGTACATGAAAGCTCAAAGTCCCATGTCCAAAATGATGCTTTCTTGATACATACAATTTTTTTGGAAACACACACATCAGGGTTTATCCATAAGCAGATTTGGCACTCCTACTTTGATCCATCTTGGTCTGATGTCAGACTTACTTGTCTCTCTATTAAACCCTCTTTTGCAATTAAGATTTTTCTTTTTTGAATACCTGATTGGTTGGCCACAGGTCTTCTCTGTCAATACCTGTCCGTGTCAGGAACACGATCCATGGCGAGTTACAGAAAGTACTGGTACCCTTCACATAGGGTGTCTACAACAAGGAATGGAGTAACATCTGTATCTTATTAAAGGGAATCAAAACGTATCAGTCACAGACAGCGAGACACAATGGTAACTTTTCTTATCTTCGATCTCTACGACCAGTGTTAAAACCTCCTTGGATGGTTGGATTTTTGGTTCCTAACTCGATTTTCCAAGGAACATTTCAGGGATTTTCCCTCCTACCTCTTGAACTGAACTTTTCTTCATTGTATTCTCCCCAGGGTCCCAGGCAAAACTGCCAAGAGGCAATTGACCGGCTGATATTGGTTAAATACACAAAAGGATGAGAAAATGGTTTCATTCCTTAAGGTCAATGGCTACCAGTGGTCAAATTGGGGTCATGCGGTCTCAAACTTTGGGTTTTCCTGGTTTGAAACGATTGAAAATAATTGTACCTTGGAAAATCACTACCACATTCCATCACTGGTTACTCCCCAACTAGTTACCTCTGAGATCTTGCCCTCCACTGTGCCAAGTCCAGGCTTTCTAGGCGCCGATGACATTTTTGTCATGGCAATTTCAAACTCACCTCAAAGCTGTCAAATCGTCCCATCACTGTGTAAACTTTGCATGCCCGCTTCTGGGATCCACCAACCCTGACGTGAAATGCTTGCAGGAAAATGCCAGCAGACAGCGAGTGCTGCTGCAAAGCCTGAGCCAAACAGATCAAATGGAACACAACATGCTTGTATCATCTCTAAAAACAAAAGTTGAATCCTGCGCAACAGCAAACTGAGCACACTGGTGGCAAACCTCAATGTCACAGTCAGGCCCATGCAATCAGTCCCTTGCTCCTCCATTTACATGCATGCAACAGAGTGATGTCAATTTTGAACAGTCTCATGGCCACTATTGTTGAAATCCTAGTCGTGCATTCACACCCCATGAAAAAATGACGCTATCATTCAGAGAAAAGCAAGGTGTCATTCTCTCCATTACTGTTCATTAAGTGAGAAAATTTGGACGTTTGTACCCATTCACTGTTGCATTTACCAACTACTGACAGAGTATTCTGGATTTCAAAGTGCATGTATCTGATTACCTTGGAAGCGTCGCTGTTAATATTAATGAGAACTGACTCCTTTGGGATGTCAATATCTCCCTGACAGACAAGAGGAAATGTTAACACAAAGTGTGAACATTAACGTGGAAATAAATGCAGCAATGTGTGTGTGTGGGGAGTCCATTCTAACAGCTACACAGTATATAACTGTTGCCAATCTTTATGAAGTTTGTAATTCTTTTCCTTAAACATGAAGTTAGGTGAATTAAATATAGCTCTACTTTACTGAAAACAGACTTCATCAAGAGTTCATAAACAATTCTGTTTAGAAATTATTTTGACATTTCACTGCCCAATTGACTTCATGCTACATTTAATAAACAATGCCATGAATAAATATTAGAATGAACCATGAATCTGGACAACACACCTGAAGATGACAATGTGAGATGGCACATTTTGGTCCGATGGTCACATGACCCTCTAGTGTACAGTTTGTTATTACGGCTGATTCCTCGACATCACATGTTCCCTGTGAGGAAACAGGCTGAGAATTACTACACATCTGGGCAAATTTCTGACACTGATGGTGACAGATTTGCAACTACCATATGCTCAATAATTATAAAGTCCTCATTTTTTTGAACAAGTCCATAATACTGATTTATTATACTGGAGAAAGACTATTTCTGTTAAGAAATATAGCTCCTGTTATGGCTTTTAATAGTATATCATAAGTTTCAGTTTTTGCAAGCAAACCTGAATGAAAGAATGCACAGTGTTGGCCCAGGTGAACTGCTTGTCTTCGTCCATGTGCAGCGGGCAAGACAACCTGTATTTCAGATGCTCCTTGGGGGACATTGTTAGGTAATTGTGACTCCCATCAGGAATCATCACTGCATCATGACAAAAACAAGCCAAGACAGGGGAGAAGAAAAAGGCTTGAAGAGGTTTCATCGATCAGTGCCAAGGCATTCACCGTGCTGTCAAGTAAACTGAAAGCAACTCAGCAACAGTGAGGAATACAGTGCAAAATTTTGCAAGTAATGATCTTGACAACTTCACTGTCAGCAGTTTACCTCATTTGAAGCTGCTTTCAACTCATTTATTGGTCATTCAGTGATTGACAACTGTTCTTTTCCCCTTAGATACTGTTGCTTTCAGTACTAAGATCTGGCAGCTTGGCACCGCATAATACTTTTAACAGCAATAATTAATGGACAGATTAGGCAGCATAAAGGGCCTAAAAAATAAAAAAACAAGCACAACCTTAGTGTTGATTCTGAGTTTTGGTTCTTCTAAGCCTATTTGAAATGAAAGGCCTTAAACAACAATATGAACGATCTATCTCTGCTTGTACATTCCAGAAATAAAACACCTACTTGCTTTCATCGGCAGTCCCCTCAGTTTGTTCCACATTTGTGCCCTCGCATTGCGCACAATTCCTTGCTCGTGCTCCTTCTTGTTGTAAGCCATATTGTATGGTTTACCTTTCTCGCCAGAGACAAATTCCTCCTTGGTTACATCCTTGGCCAGGCACAGAAGTATGTCAAAGAACAATGAGAGCTGTGACGAAATGCAATCAATACAAGAAAAACAATTAAAAATGACCATGATCACATTCAGGAAATTCTAAACCAGTCTACAGAAACAGAACATTGACAGTGGATGCATGCTTCAAATACAACTTATCTCATCATTTCAAAAGCAAAATTTTAATTGAATTGGCATTGAAACAAATGGAATAAAAATTGAAATTTTTAATCTCCTCGATTAGAAGGAATAAAATTGAAATTACTTCCTACAGTTTACACAAAGACCATCGTGATGGCCACTGAATTTTCCATGAGCAACAGGCAACAACAGAAGAAAAATCAGAAATGGTAAATGAACTCTACCTCAATGGGTTTAACGTCACTGTCCATTCCAAGGTAGGTGCATGCATCAAGACCAGGCAATGCATGAAGAAACAAAAACTTCTCTGCAGCTCTGCGATAACCCGCATATTCAAAAAAATTTGAGAAAACATGAACTGTATTCCAGGAGGCAACAGACAGGGACAAATTTCCAGACATGTAGTGATTTATTCATGAAAGGCATACATGTTTATTTGAAAAAATTGAATTAAAAGGTAATAAACAAGGACTTATTTTTCGGTCTTTAGTGATTTATTCAAGAGACACACACAAAAATTTATTTTGAAGAAAAAGGATGATGTCTCCGCTTAATGCACTTATTTTAGCGGCTTAGCCGGGAGTACTTGGGAACTACTGCTAAACAGGTGTTTGTGGAAAGCAACATTCAACTAAGAACCAGTTACATCAAATATGTACTGCATGACACTTTGGCTGGTAACCAGTTTTTTGCTGAGCCAGTAATTTCCTGGTTAAGCAAATTTCTATGATTAGCAACTTGATGACATTGACCCCTGGCCTCAAATTTCACGGCTCTGCTTACTACAAATTATAACAGAAAGTTCAGCCTGTGTTTCAAAAGTTAGCATGGAAATTTTGGCATTCACACTAGGCTTCTGTGCTTACGTGGTTAGTGAAACAGCTAATATTGTTGCAACAGAAGTGATTCAAATCAATGGTTCTCTGGTTTTTTAAGTCACAAAAACTGATACGGCAGAGCTGTCTTCAAAGTACCGGAATCCCATCAACAACTTGTCGAGTCTAAGTGACATGTGACAATGCCACATCTGTACTTACCTGGAGCTCAGGAACACCACGCCAGCCACCAGGGACACCATGTGGTCTGACGGATCCCCTGTACCGTCACGCAGGGCACACATCTTCATTGCGGTTGGCCCGCCACGAAAGAAAATGTCCTGAATAACACCCTGTGAAAAAATCAATGTTTAAGTCTTTACAGGTGGCTTGCTACTGACAATAAAAGAGCAGAGGGGCCTTGCAGAGGGGAGGGGATAGTGGGGACAGTTGGGGAGGTTTCAAGCATTAACTGTGACTTCTTAGAAACAATATTACACTAATCCTCTGTTTAAGAGATGCATCTGGTTGCTCAATAATGAACCCCACCCCTGATTTTGTAAATTTCATGTTTCATGTACAATCCAACTTTCTGCCTATAAAATCAAAATACTGCACAGATTTCAGATTTGTCTCTTTTTGTTACTTGATTATTTGAAGTAAAGCAATTCTCACAATTTGGGCATGTGTTTCTTAGACAGACCTTGACAATCAGCACAGCTATTAAAAATCAGTCTTTGGACTTATAATCTTAGGACAGCAGGGTCAAGTAAGAGTGCGTTATAAGGGAGGCTGGTGTTTGTTATTTCAATTTGGCAATAACGGAAGTCACAAAGATGTATGTGCGTCCATGCTAATCATGAAGGGACAGAGACCTGCTTAATTCACTATGGGCACACCATGCAGGCTGTCCATACCAAGGGGAAATTGTGACTTACATCCTTGTCAATCCGGTAGATGCCATGATTGCGTGCATACTCCTGTGTGGCCGGCACACTTATGACACACGCCCCTTCAAACCCCGCCCAATCCATCTTGGGCGGGGTCGGTACAGTAAGGAACATGTCTGTGCTGCAGACCCATACACCAGGCGGGCAGCCAGTTGAAAGCTGCAATGTGATATTCACACACAGAAAACAGAATCAAATTTAATTCAGATGAGTAAAAACGAGAGATTCAAAACCCAGGCAAAATCTGTGAGAGTGCCTTGCAGAAAGACTAGGGAGTTGAGAAAGCTTTTCACAGGATCAAAATCAGATTGTTCAGGTGAGTTGAGATCCAGCTTACCCATGCATGAGAAGCACTTCTGAGGACCTGTTAGGAACTAAGGCTGTGTCTGACACATGCTGTCAGAGCTACGGCTACATCTATTGTCACATGGCCCTGCATACATTGTATCTTAAACATCAGATTCAGATGCAGCCTAAACAGAAACTACTGCTCGGCAGAGTTTATGTACTCAGCCAGTGTTGTGTTCGAGTCCATCAAAAGTCCCTACAAGTCCCTCATACGAGTCATTCAGTCTTAACCCAAGTCACAAGCCATTCAAATAAGCTGTGACAAAAGCATTCCTTTGCTAAGTTTACCCTGTTACTAGACTGGACTTGTGAAGGGACCTTTGACTGGACTTGTGAAGGGACATGTGAAAGGACTGGTGATGGACTCGAATACAACACAGTGCTGAGCAAATCATCTGAGAATCAGTCACTGACAATGCAAATCACTCAGCACTTCACTAAAATTGTTCTGTACTTGGCAGCTCCACAGCATCGCCTACTGACGACCACATGGGACTAGAGAGTATTTACCAAATACTGACGACTACACCACAACTTAGGACATAAATACATTTGACTACACTATAGAAATACAAAGTCTAACAACTGAGAAAGTGTTACCTGTACATTTATCTTCCAGGTCTCACATTTTGTGAAGGTCATTGCCTTCACAGCTGGAGCATGCTGTCTTCATACAACTCCATACCATGACAGACATACAGAGTACTGATAGATTCTTGGTGTGGTTTTATACCATATTACCCCCTGCGCATTTGGCCCATAAACATTCCTCAAGTCATCTCAGCTCCCAGGGGAGTGTACTGGTCAAAGGTGGTCATTTACAGATACAAACACAGTGATGCTGCAAGTTGACGATTGGTGCCTAAGAGATACATGCAGCTCACCGTACCTTATCTGTGACAGTGCAAATCAGATGGTCGATGTTCGTCACTAATCCTTCATAGCCAGCTTCTCCCTTGGATGCATGCCTCACTGGGAGGGTCACAAAGGCCCGCCCACAGGAATCAAAGCAAAAGCTACGCCCCTGCCATGAGAAAAATGTGGGTCTCTCGTCAACTATGAAATGTACTTTTCACTCATTAAACTTCAAAATTAAGATATTTATGAAGAAAAATTTCACTCCTGATATGCTACACTATAAGAAGAACGCTAACATACCACATGAAGAATTAGTATATATGAATAAAGCAGAACATCTGAGGTCACCACCTGTAAACATGAAAAAACAGAGTTTCATTGCTATATTTACACAACTGGAATTCATTTTTGCTTATTTGAGGATGTTTGGCCAACTGTTCATGGCTGCCCTTACAATAACACTGAGGGAGGGTAATGATTGGAAAAAGTTAACCTGTTCCACACCTGTTCAGCAGCCATGCCAGTTAGCCTTTCTGCCCAATTATCTTGAAGACATGCTCTCCTACATGTACATTCCACCTTCAAAACCTAAACAGTGACTACACTACATGTACCAGGCAATGCACCTTGGACTGTACATACTCACTGTGTAGCCATGCCGCTGGCTTAGATGCTCTGACACAACCAGCAGAGCATTTAAGGTGGCACCTCCCGAGCCCACTCTCGTCTGTGGGTCTTCAACAGTCAGAAGGAGAACATCCTTGTCGATGTAACCCTTCTTCTGACGAACCTCCAATTCTGCAAGATTCATTTTCAATCACAAAAACGTCAGTATCTTTGAGATACAGGTGCTGTACATGAAACACGAATACAAATGACCAACTCGGTATTAAGAAAAATTCTGCCATGAGACAAAGGGATCGACTCTTTCAGAACTGAAGTTTACAAACGGTAGTGTGGGCCTACCCACATACATACAGTACTAGTACATACTTGAAGGACACAAGAGGGTAAAGTTCAAAGATGAACTAGGTTTAGGGCCGTTTTTCAATAATCAACTTTGTCTCTGTCTCAGGCTTCGTGTGGAAAACCAATCCTTGATTGTGGGCCTGAAGCATTTAACTTAAATTGGAGTACTGTAATGCTTGGCTCTTTTGCATCTTACTTGATGTTTTGTGGCACTATCAAACTTACTATTGCGTAACATCAAATTCAGGAGGTAAAAAATAGTTGAAGCCTGAGACAGAGCCCAAGTTGAGTATTGGAAAAAGGCCCACGTTAGATCTGCATTCACGAAAGGCAATAACCAAGGAAATAGCAAAAGCTTGCAAAACACAAAAACTATCCATTTAACCTAACATCATTCCTCAATCTTACAATTTCCATAAATTTCATATGCTTTTATAATTTTTTTCAAAAATAAAATCTGGGGTTAAAATTAGTTTCTGAAAAATTTAGAGCATGTAAAGAGGATCAAGTCTGATGCACGGGTCTAACATAACTGCCAGCTGTATTAACATGTACTGTGTACAGTTACGTGAAAAAAGCAACTAAAAAGTTTCCTCCAACCCTGAGTAAGACCTATTCACCAATAAATTCATAATTATGTACGCATGCGCACAAATGGCCTTGGTGGCAAGACATGTGACCGGGCCATTGAAAATGTACAGAGGTGTGAATTTGACGATCATTTTCTCTCAGGTTTTCTGGCTTTGTTCATTTTTTCTTCAGAAAATCCCATTAAATGATAATAGCTATTAGTTTCTAATTTAAGTGGAATTTTTAATGCTCTTAAAAAGACTTTATAATTGTGATTTTTCCTGAGCGCACGAGACCGCCGTTTCTTAGTATGGCCCTCTTCCATCATAAGTAGTATAAATTACATTGTTAGTGTTCTTGGAGCCAACCTGTGCATTTGTAAAAACACGTACCAATGTTCAATGTAACAAATCTGTATGTAAATAGCTTATCATTGAACCTGGTCACAGCTTGGAGTACTACCGAAAGAAATGGTATCCAGTTGTGTTTGGGGTTGTACAAGACAAAGTGCAGATTCCAAAGTGCAGATTTCCCAAGGTCAGAAAACAGTAAATCGAATGGGTACAGTAAAGAATATTTGGGTTTTTTTGATTATTATTGTGCAGGCCTTGTTTGCTGACAGCAATACTTTTAACCCATGAGCACTTGTATTTAAAAACACAACTGGTGTAAGTACCCTTTATGAGTCTATATAATCACACAATACTGGGTAAAGGTCGGTCGGTTGAAATAATTTAATATTTGAATGTTTGACCTTCGATGCTGTATTCAAATATTCAGTTGTACCAAATTCTTACAAAAGAAGAAACAAAACAAACAAACAAACAAACGAACATGTTTTAACAGAAAGATAGAAAAGGAAACATCTGAAGGAAGGTACCGTAACAGCCCCTTTTAAGTTTACTCATAACTATGCTTTTGGGACACAATTTTCTGTTTTTTATTCATTGATGTACAGTATATCTTTGTACATTCAATTTTGAATATTTGAGTACTCAATTATCAATGGAATATCTGAATAACCTGGTACATCTGAATATCCTAGAACAGGGAGCAGTTTGGGGCAGTAAAGGGAATAAACTTGCAAGACAAACAAGGGCATTGATCCAGCATGTCAATGGGGGCAATTAATGATCTGGGAAACGACCAATAAGAGACTATGATTACAGTTAGATTTCCCTTTATAACTGTACACAGCATACCATACTGGAGTGGTTCTGCAGAAGCTTCGTCCGTGCAAGTCACCACAATAGCTGTCCACTTGGTCCGCTGGTCACTCATAATGCCACACCCAGTGATCTGTTCCTTTTCTGTACACAGATCGAAAGGAATACCACTGACTGCTTTGACTGCAGTGTTCAATGAGAGGAAGATTTTAGACTAAGATGGACTCTACAGTTAGACCACTTGGGGTACAAAAACTTGCTAGAGCGCTCACTTGCTAATAGTGGAGGCCGGATAATGGTTGCAAAATACATGCATGAATGCAGAGACTGCACAGACAGCCCAAGTTGTGCACATTTTTATACCTGGGTGTGCACTGCATTCAGTGAATGTACCTGTGACTAGATCCCACAAATGAGCCTTCCATTATTCTCTTCACAAACAATACTTACATGTATATATGCGTGCATTGTGCACAAACATAATATACATGTACATGTATTGCAGGATGCTTTTGTATCCAGCTGGGTGGTAGCTCAGCAGTTGATGACCAAGTGTGATTGAAAGATAGGAAGATTGGATTGGAAGAGCCTCAATTTTAGAGTTCTGGATCCAGTCTGGGGGAGTTATACATCAATGAGATGTAAATGTTGTAGATATTATAGATAAATGTTATAGATTGAATAAATTCTGCCAAGTTCTGAAAGGAAAACAATTGTAAAACTGTAGTTTGTACAGAATAAAAACAAAACTTACATACATGTACATGTACAGGGTTTATTGTTTGTAATATTAATTTTTCAAATTATTTCTTTGCAAGGACACAAATGGGGGAAAAGATATAAAAACAAATAAAATGAATACACCTTTTCAACATACGCGATGCTATTGTGGAATTGGACGGCAAACAGGACATACATTCTATGATGTCAAAAAGGTAAATACATGCAGAATAGGGGCTGCTCTTTTTACATCACAGTCATGTACTACCAATAAGTGGCTGCTAAAAATATGGCTGGCTTTCACTACAAAAGTCAGAGATTAATTTCCAAAGTGTTCAGTTAAAAATCCCACGCCGCCATTAAAACACCAAATAATACACATATTACTACAAATGGCATGAAATACAGTCCACTTTTTTGAGACAAATTCACATTTTGAACAAATCTGGAGTTAAATTGAAACCAACCCGTCAATAATGGGTTATAATGGGTGGGGGGATTACCAATATAATACCCCAAAAATCACACCCCTCCAAATGTGACAAGAAATCCCTGTCCATAGTTCTAGGGGGATTTTGCTGGTAAGCAAAAACTGCAACTACACATGAGGACTACATGTATATTGTCCTATAATCATGACATGACAAAACAACATTCCACGACATTTGCTAGTCCAAGCACGGAGGAAGGAAGGGGGTCCAAGTACTTGAAGTAGGCTAACTACATTATCACTAATGACATGGCTGAAGTACTGTACATGTACACTGTAGAACTACAGATTGCTTCCTAATTGGACGACCATGTCCCAAATTTAAAGTTACTAGGGGCGATTCGTAGAGTCCTATAGTCAATCCATGTACTCCAACTACTTCTAGCCCTGGTACTGTCCTAGGCCTGCCTTCAATTGAAGCTTACCTAGGAATGAAGGAACTGCCTACCAGTGTACCCCTTCACATGGGCAGCACGTCGACCGGTCCTGGATCCTCGTCGTGTGCAGAGCAAGCGCTGGTACGGTGCGTGCGATGTGCCTGTTGGACCGGGCTGGGCGATTTTGTCGAGACCGTCCCTACTGGTCTCGGCCGGGTGAACAAGCGCCCTCTGATGACTCTCAGGAACAGATAAGCCTCATGTGACGTTTCGTTCATTCGCGTTTTGAATTGATAACCGAACACGGATATGTGCGCTGTAGAAATATCCACTTTAATTATTATTTTGCCATTTGACAGAACAAGATGAAAACAGTTCATTGCTTGTTTTACTTTTCAAAAACAAAAAACCAACAATCGTTTTGTGTTTCAATGTGAAAACGAATAACATTGACAATTTTTGAAGAATAAAACACGTTTTGTTTCTCATTTTGTAATGCAAAACAAGTCTTTACGTAAAGTGTAGACTGCTAAATAAAATTAATTAAACGTGGCTGAATAAGAGGATTATGATGAATTTGTTGCTCGAGCAGCAACGACAAAATCTCTCACAATCTAACAAGTGCATCTTGCCTTTTTTTTCCTGAATTGCGCTGACGTACGAAGGGGGGGGGGAGTTGTCAGACCATCAAGCATCAGCCATTAATAGCTCGACCAATATGCCCCATTCAATTATAGGATCCGGAAAAGTAGGGGCCTGCTGCCGTAAAAAAATGTGCGTGTGTGTTGGGGGGGTGCAAAGACCCCCTCCACTTCCTTCGACATTTGCTTACTGTTTAAAAAATAACAGAAGTGTGGCATGCTTTACCCCGTATAGGCCTACCTAGACTTGCGCTACGCGCGCAGCGCTTTACGATCTCTGCGGCTCGTCACCATCATACGGAACCCTAAGTACGGAGTCCCTGATGGACAGGTACAATGATATTTTTTTTATTTCGTTCCATTGAGTTATTATTTAGTTCCATTGAAAATATTATTTCTTTCTCTCGAAATATCATTTCCTTCTCTCGAAATGTTATTTCCTTCTCTCGAAATATTATTTCGTTCCCTCGAAGTATTATTTCGTTCCCTCGAAATATCACTTCGTTCCATCGAAATCATTTCCGTTTCCGCCTCCTTAGGCCTACGCTTGTGCGTAGTCGCATTAATTTTATTTCGATTTCACACATGCGGACACCCTGGCAATACACCAGTCACTATTGTCAACCCAAATGCTATTATGGCCCCTCTATATACAGTGTCTTACGCTCTTGACGTGACCTAAAGGAACAGGCTGAGAGATCGAATACTCCCCCCATAACTTTTAAATTTTTAGTATAAAGCTTTTAACCCCTTAAGGTTCAGTTATTGCACTAAGCTAGCCGGGGTATAAATCAAAAACCCATGGACTGCAGGTAAGTAAATCTTCGCAACGTTATACATTCTCATTGTTACGTTGCACAGTATATGAAGCAAACGTGTACGACCAAGGAGGCCTCTCGGGATGATAACGCTGGAGAGAAAAGATCCCTGGGTCACTTTGTCACACTTTGCGTGTACGAACTGGAAGGCCTGCCGGGTTGATATTGCCGAAAGTAAAAGGTTGTTAATAATTATTTAAAGCCAATCTTCGGTGACTTTTCGCAATATTACTTGAAGAATATAAATATAAAATTCCAACATGAGTACTTCTGGGGTTTTTTCAGTGTAAAATCAATAACCCACATGTTAAGCCAAGGTGATAGGGCAGCCCCATTTAAAACCCCCAAAGGCGTGCTGTGCGAGGATTCCACTATAAGCGCGCCGCATGATCTATACTTTTACGCTCTACAAAAGCAATGGTTTCAGTATCTTCGTTTTCGGTTTCATTGTAAGTCTACAGCGGGCGCATGTAGGCCTATGACACTAACCATAGTTTATTCCCTGCTTTCGCTTTTGCCCTTTCAGCCTCTGTTTCAATGAACTTGAAACTCCCATCAATAGTGTATGCATCAAGAACAAGGCCAACTGGTATTGTTGCGCTGTCAGTACAACAGCGTCAGTACGATTTTGTGCGAGGCTCAATTTTAGGGCAACAAGGTATCGAGGGGTTTCATTACCGACTAGATTTTTCTCAAGCGGAGGTAAATTAAAGTTTGATGAAACTCCTGCCAGTAGAACGTGTCGTGTTTTGAACGCACATCCACATAATGAATTAAGGGGAAACTACACAAGGGCAGGCATTTTGCGTTATATTACGATATCTTTAATATATGACGATGACTCGACCCAAGTCCTTGTTGAAGCAAGGATGCAGTCCTTTCGATGTTTTTTATCAATCGAAATTCGCGGAATGTCACGTTCCCACTTATCCCCACAGCACACAGTGGGATGGAATAAAATTTTCTTCTGTTTTTCTTTCCAAAGACTGAAAAGAAACCTTTGTAGAAAAGACCTACACAACGTTTTAGTTAGTTACGCTACTCTGCCTTTGTACTTACCTGTGTTTTTTGTTAACAGTAAGGGAATTATAGACAAGATGTCGGACGCAGGACGGCTGAAAGAATGTTGTGAATCATACCTTAAAGCTTCATCAAAGACTAGCATTTTCCAATCTACAACAGCTTCCGCAGTCAAGGGGTGTCAATTCCTTTGTCAGAGACCAATTTTATTCAGAAACAAAGGTCTTCATTAGAGGCAATGTCCCTTGTCATTGTCAAGTCCTTTGTGACATCGTGTCTTGAGCTTTGTCTCTGACACCCACGGTGCTCATAGGCGGCTCATGGTCGAACTACATAAAAAATGTTAAAATTGAAGTAAAATTCCTACATTTGGCAGTAATATGAGACAAAGCCAGGTATGGACACAAAACTGAGAATTGGCGAAAAGTGGTAACAAGAGCAGAATACAATCGAATTCACGAGGATTTTAGTGTACCCTAGACATCACGTCTGGGTTTCAAAATTGTATTTATACACCAAAAAAGCTTGGCATGATTTAGGATTCATAAAAACACAGAACTGTAAAACATCGTTGAATCAACGTCGTTGAATAAAATAAAAATTAACAGCCAGATACCTTGAAACATCTCATTTAAAACAAGGTACTTAAGTTATCGATTTAAACATCCAACAAACTAAGGTAATTTAAAGTGAGCATTTAATCAACATTTTAGAAATCAGTCCACGGAAAAGCCATTCATCATTTTGCCCTTTTTTCACTTCTTTCATTTTTTATCTAATATCATTTTTTAGTCTCATTTTTTATATTTTCACCCCCAAATTTCATTAACTCCATCCTCAGTGCTCAATCTCCCAGGTTTCAATATTATTTTACATTCACCCTAGGGGTTGGGGCTTGAGGCATGATGCCTGTGCTACTTCCTGACGCTCAAAGTTTCCGAGGATAAATTCTTTATAGATGCACGTTTCGTGCAACTGTAAAGTCTTTTATGTGAAACAATTCAGCGCCCTTTTGGGGTGAAGTGTTTTGAAAATCGCATTGTTTAAACATTTGAAATTTGTCCATGCTTTTCCGGCTGAATGAAGGTACTTTTGCTGTGATGTCATTTAGGGAACGCAACGATCAGTTAACATGCTTTCTGTTTATGTTGCCAACCTACAATTTGCTCGTTCAAATGTTTCTGAGAAATGATTGATTGTTGCCATATTATTTCAAAGTTCTTGCACAACATTGAATCAACCAAGAAAGAGGAAAAAATGGGAAGGCAAAATACTAAAAAATACCACTAGTTATTTTTGCAAAATTTATCGAACTATTTTGAGGGCCTTTCAGCAATGGCGTTGTAGCCACAGTTTTCTAATGAATATTCAAATTTGTATCAGCATGAAACCCCCCCAAAACAAAACAATAAACACTAGAATGCCTTTTAAAATACAGCACAATCATTGCAAATACGGTAAGATGAAACATAAAAGTGCATTCAGAAAAGCCGTGCGGAAAATAGACCCTTTTAATCGCTGTCTCTGTGATCTTATGTCGACAATTTGATGCGTAATGATTTAGCTTGAAAAAGTGTAACTCGACAGTCAGAATTAGAAGCCATTACCGTTGCGACAATTTAATCTACTGTGATTAAAACTTCGAAAAAATGTAATTCGACAACCAGCATTAAAAGCCATTTTTATGGTGGTACAGCTCATAAATAGGTAGTATACGCGCATTACATGCCTCTTTGACTAATAAGTGAAATTAATGATTTGCTAAATGCAGGCGCGTCAAACTCAAAAATGTGCGAGTGAGAGTGGTGCCACCGCACTTTTTGGGTGCGTTCGTGCGTTTACTCCGATCCTGTTAACACGAGTAGGATGCGTGCGCATTACACTCGGGTACAGGAGTATACTCCCCCTAAAGCGAGAGTAGACTCTCGCAGACCCTCGGATCGCACTATAGCCGTTCAAGCGCTCAGAGTATACTAGTGTAAACGCGAGTAGCTCGCTCGAACGCACCTTACAGTATTTAACCCAATATCCCCAACAGTAGGATATTTAAATTAGGCATATATACAATACCAGGGGTTAGATCGCGCAGAGATGGTGGGAACCAACATGGCGCGGCAAGATCGTATCTACGGGAACGAGGTTGGACTAGCCTTGCACTAACTAACCAGCCTGAAATGCAGCTCCCTATATTCATAAAGCATGTGACAAACGAAAAGTGAGCAAATACATGGCCTGTACAATAATGACCACGTTGAAGAATTCTATTTAAAGCGTAAATACTCAGAATGAAACAATATAATACAGTGCCATGCCATTCTTACATAGGCCTACATACATAAGTCTTATTTCACATAACTTGAAGGTTAATTTTTCCAAGTATCTAAAGTAATTCTTAAAAGTTGTTGAGACTTAACTGAGGTCAAGTCATCCTCGTTCCCTTCGCTCATGCGTTGTACTATTCAGCGCTTCTCATATGTGTTTAGGCTTTCAGAAAGGAAAGGAATTCAGAAAGCGAAACAAGTCACGTTGAAAGCAGAAAAATCAGGGAGTTAATAACACCGACAAAGAATAATTCATTCCAAGTGGACGAACTTTATTTGGACCGGTCACAGTGTTTTCCTTCCAATTTCTTGCTCATGAAAGAGTGTCACATTCGCCATCAACCGCAAGTGTTTTTTACCGAGTAGTGAAAATCTTCGAGTACACCAGTGATATTTTGAGCGGCTTCAATTAATTTCCCTATCAAAAATGACCGAAAAAAAGCTTACCTCTACAACCAAGCAGCTCGAACCGGATGCAAATATACCTTTGCCAGCTCCGAGGCTCAATTTTGACGTAGCGTGTTTGTAGAGGCTCCGGGAATATGACAGTGACGTGAGAGTCGTTGTCACTGTTACCCTGAAACTTTAACGACCAATGAAAACAATAATGGGAAAACCTCAGAAATCATGATAATAGACTTTGCAAACTAGTTTTGAAACGTTGATAGGTTTTAATTTAATTAATTTATACAACCCTTGCAAGTACGTGTAAGCACTGTGCCAACGGCCCCCACGGCTCTTTCACGAACGGCTCTTTACAGGAAAATACACCCATTTTGTAAGTGTTGGATCCTATGGTGCGTGCTTACCTCCTTGGGACTTCCACTGGCTGTGATATAGTTCCAGTTTGTTCCATCAGCGCTGTACTGCACTCGGTATGATTTGGTCCAAACATCACTGTGGTGCCGCCCCTGTGTGATGAGTCCGCTGACTGTGATCTTGTTTCCAAGGTCTACGGTGATCCATTGATTTGTATCTATTGGTTCGGGACACCAAGCACCTAGAAGAGGCCATATCGATGTAGGGAGAAAAACAAACAAACAAAAAAAAACCAAACAAACAAACAACCGAGAACAGATCCATCAACCCAATCATCTTAACCCGTCGGGTTTATGGAGTGATCTGTGTTCAACATTCTAACTCCAATTTCGCAAAATTTGGACCTCAAGAATTGTCAATTTTTACGAAGCTATACGCATCGAAATATTTCAAACGTTTTATTTTAACCACATCCCTGACAAAGTGCTGAAGCAGGATTATTGAGTTGGGTTCGACTGGGTGATTTTGCTGGATTAGGTGACTGGGTTGGGTTAGGTTAGGGATTATTGGGTTGGGTACTTGGGGTAGAATGAGTTTTGTTGGATACTCGATTGTGTTTGATTAGGCTTGGTTTTAAGTTACGAGTTGAGTTTAGATTGGAGCTACACCGTAAAAACAACGCTTCGAGTTTTAACACATTTCTAAACACATGTTTTGTACCCATTTTTTGACATTTATAACCATGATGTGTTTAGTATTGTACGCTTGGGAATGTGTTGAAATGCTAAGTGGACTTCAAAAAGCGAAACATGTACCACAGAAAAACGTATAATAAACATGTCATGAGTTAAACGTGTTGAAAAAGTGGGTACAAAAAATTGCTTAAACCCTACACGTTGGATTGGGTACCCGATTGGGTTGGTAGTTTTTGGTTTTATTTTGGGTAACAGATGAGTTGAATAAGGCTATAGGTTGGGTTGGGTATTGAATTTGGTTGTATTTGGTTTGAATTTGGGTAATGGATGACTTGAGTTATAAGTTAGAGTAGGTTGGGGCAAAGTTGGGATGGGTATTGGTTGGGTCTGATCAGAGTGGTTCAACCTCTATTTTTTTATTCAAGATAGATAAAAATACATAAATTCACCCTTCGTGTTAAGACGAGATTTCTCGCGACCAAAACCAGTATGACCAACGTGAGAGACTGACAGATTATCGTCAGGAATTGCTCCACTCTCCATCCCTAATGGGTCTTGACAAACTGCTGGAAAGAGTTAAAAAACAAACAAAATGTAACATTTTAATGATCGAATCCCAGCCAAGTTTTTGATTTTGTTCCAGGAAAGTCAAGGTCCAGGAAAGTCGTTTCCAAACGAAGTATTTTATCGAGCGACTGTAGTTTGAACGCTCTGAATGTAAATAACCTGGTAAAGAGCATTATACAAGGGTACAATTCCGTTACCGCACGTACATGTATTTGTAAAAGGCCATGTTCCAGTGTTGTAGGACTCGAATCCAGGACTCGGCTCGAGTCGGACTCAAGTCACTTTTTTCGCGACTCGCACTCGACTAGAGTCAAATTGAAATGTGACTCGGACTCGACCATGATGACTCGTGACTCAAGTCACGTGTTTTCTAAGAAGAAAAACTTAAGTTTACAAATCTGTGAGACGAACGTCATGGAAAATTGCATGCAGGATCGCCGGCTGCGCGGGCACAAGCGCACACCAGACCCCACTGGACGTGCTCGAAACCCCGATCTCGTGTTGGACGAACACGAGAACGGGTTTCTGAATGACGAGAATCAACACGCAAACATTGTTCGCGAACAGCATTCTCACTCCTCACTGACTGGGGATTGGATGGAGAACGTCTAGAACAAAGATGGCGGACGAAGGCATATAGGCCTACCACAACTTAACGCGTACGTTAATGACTTGCAGGTCTCTGTAATGGTCGGAGCGGTGAAAGTAGCACATACGCGCAGACACAATGTTTTCAATGTCCTCCAACAAGAGTATGTCTCCAACAATAACTGGCGCGTAAGTAGGTCTACCACCGCGGCTATCCACCCTCGTACCCAAGATTACACAATTACAGCGCAGTAGACACGACACATCAACTGTTAGAAATCAAAAGATCACCGTTGTCCATTTTTTTGTGGCCCGGCAACATCACCAGTGCGCTCAACGTGTGAATGATACATGTGCGCTTGTAGCATATCATGTGATCATTTTGCCACCTATAACAATTCACTATCTGTAACCATGGTATAACAAAGTTACATGTCACACTCTTTGTTGCCATGGATCGACAAATCAGAATTCACGTTTGCCTGAAGATAATATCTGGCAGCTGCATCGGAGCGTGCCAGCATGTCATCAGCAGTTTACAAAACGAAATCGTTGCTCATTACCTTTAGCAACCCGTTCCTATAATAAGGAAACAAAGTCTACCCGTTCGAAACAACATACCTAGATAACTTGGCGGTTATTTCCTCTTTCATATCAGAAAGAAAAGACAACACAACTTTGAAAATGAAAATGTGGACTTATTTCCATATCACAGGAACAGAGTGCTAAAGTTAATGAACACCACGAAACTAGTTGGCCTTGGGTCCCATTTGACGGGCGAGAACTGCAACATTAAAATTGCATGCATTTTTGTTCAACAGCCGGAACCGGGATCTGCGGTGTAGGCGTCTCGTAACACGAAAGGTTAAGTATAGGTACAGGTTAATCGGGTAATAAAGTAATACCTGCTTGTAATCAAAAGGTACATGGTGGATTGTTTTTCTTTTTGATAAAAAAGCTAGCTTGACTTTTTCAAAAGAACCATAGCACTGATTCATTAGCCTAAGCAATCTGAAAAACAGAAGTGTGTCAAGAAAAATCACAGAATTCTAGGTATGCACAGCGAAAAACCCGCCAGATTGTTCTATAACTTAAAACAAGTGAATTGTGACTTGGACTCCAGACTTCGGGCTCAACATTGGTAAATCGACTTTACCACTAATAAGTTCTAATGTAGTGTATATACCTTCCTTATGAGTCGTCTTCCACGGTGGTTTGTAGAAATCCTCTTCGTAAGACGAGTCCTTCGCTAGACGCTTCAAAAGGCGCAAGTGTTGACAATCGCAGGGAGGGTCGTTGGACTGCGGAAACCAGCGCTCCTCATCCAAATAGTTTGAATCGGGCATCTTACGAAAGTTACAACATCCGACTGAAAGGCCGGCTTCTGTTGAATGAAATGTATGGCCAAAGTTGATTACTGGTTCGATGCGTTGTACACAGGGTTGGGTTTAGTTGAGATTAGTAACTGACTTTAGCTTTATTTTGTTCGGTTCAGTTGGGTTTGACTTCTTAGTAGTTGGCTTACTGGTGTTATTGACCTAAATTCGCGTATATTGCATACCGACACCACCATATCTACCGTGACCTGAAATGACTGCTTATCAATGTCAGCTTTTCAGTTAAGATCTGCTGCCGTGTTTGTATACATAATAAGATATACATGTAGGCCTTTTTTTCTATTAGACCTACTTGTTGCAACACAATGTTGCTCCATTCCTACGCGTTTTTCGGAGTTTCTTACATGTTTTCAAAGTGACCGTCACTATAAAAGAGCCTGAATGAATATCTGAACAGTTAAACATAGTATCCAACCAGGGCTTTCCTTGTGACCCTTGACATGTTGCGTCATGCATTTAAACAACCAGTCACCTATACAAAAAAATCGAAGCCTAAATATCTCCAAATACGGTTCACTAATACCTACAAACTTCTTTTTTTCATCCAGACTGCATGGGATTGGAATAATTTTCCCCTGCACATCTCAGATACAAGTAACACTAAAAATTGCAGAAGCCCTAAGGAATCTCAAACGTAATGCTCACGAATAGCCGTCCACCTCTCTTTGGCTGCATGTTGATCAGTGACTATTTGTCAAGATCAAGCTCATGATCTATTTATATCTGTGGGTGATACCTAGCCCCAGACTGGGGGCCATGATACGCAGAGAGTCCAGTAGACTGGCCCCCAGTCTGGGGCCAAGTGATACCTAGCCCAAGGCCCTGTTTGTTTCACTTCGATCCGGATAGCGACCAGAACCTGTGTAACGGATAAGGCGAACCAGCCCTTTGACTACAGATCGCGACCCAGATCCGTGTGAAGCAAAGGCCGTGTCCGAATCACTTGGCTACGGCCGGAATTTACACACGACTTAAAGGGAACTGACCGCGGCCACTGCCATTGAATCGTGCGTAGTTTCCAGCCGTAGCCAAACAGGCCTCAGGATTTTATCATGAGATGCCAGGGAATCTCTGGTAAGGGAAACAGACTATTTGGGTACAGCTGTGCGCGTGCGCAATAGTCTCTCCTATCACTGCAGCCATACATACGATGACTCAATCGCGCTTTGTTTCCAAAATACTGTTTTTTTTTTAAATGGCGAGCTGGCTCGTGTATGTTACTTCTCTACTTTGTAGACGTTTTTCATGTGACGTAATATGACGGGCAAAGTTATTTTAGGAAGCATACCATGTCTGTACAGGCGCATGCATTTTCGAATTGGGGTATTTCTACTTGGAAGTTAATGTACGCAAAAATGCCATGGGACTTTCAAGGCGCGCGCGTTTCTTGACACCTCAGGTCAGTGTAAAGTCCTCGCCGGCCGTCAACAATCAGGTGACTGAATATCTCGCATAGAAAAAAGATTTTCTATTATGATTGCCAGAGGTTGAATTATTGGAGGCTCCCCGGGACATGTTGTTAGTTTTTTTTTTCTTATTTACCGTAGGTTATACGTTTTCCCAGTGATTTTTTTCATACAGTTTGATTCAAGTGCTGTTCACATTCACATGGCTGTGGAAAACTGCGCTCAAGTACGGTTATCCCAGGAATTGTTGTGGTTTGTATTGTTTGCGCCATTATGTGCATTCCCTTTCAATTTTTGATCTTTTGAATTAATTTGCTGGCCACAAGGTTCATGTAAAGGAGCCTTCAAATTAATCTTAGGACATTGTATTTTGGTATTATGAGCAGAGAGCAACCAATTTTGCGGGATTTGCGTGTGCATGGTAACACACAAGCACTTTTAATTTAATTTGTTTATACGCAAGCAGTTTCAAACTCGACGAACTAAACTCCAATTTGCTATTAAGTTTAAGATTGCTAGAATATAATTAAATAGGATTTTTTAAAAATATTTTCTATGTGTATGTCTTTTCCAGTTGTTGCCAGTGTGTTTGACAACCTTCTGAAACTGTATATCTGTAGCATCTTCATTTAGATACAAACAGAAATCGATAAGAAATTAATTGCAATTTTTATAATCCTTGCTGTTCGTCACTTCGTCAGTTTCTTTAAACAAAAAAGTAGGCCCATTAGCATGTGCTCAATTTCATGTTTTATTGCTGGCCTTTACCCTCTTTAGTTTCCCAATATGAGACTGCATTTTATTTCATATTTTTGCTTCAGTTCTACGCTTCAGCTCTATGCTGAAATATTGCCTGGGTTAAAGTTTAAACCAAGCAAGGGCGAAAACTACAACTACCCAATTTAGTTTAGGTTGTTTCAACCCATTTTGGGTGCTTGAAATTAATTTCTGGGTTGTTTTAACCAAACTACGGTTAATATTCACTCATTTTGTGGGTGAAAACTGAAACAGAAAATAATTCTCAACCCAAAGTAGGGTTAATACAGCCCATATTTGGGTAGTTGCAGTTTCCACCCTTCCTTGGGCAAAATTTAACCCAGGCAATTTTTCAGTGTATGCATTTGTACTGCACGGTCTCCCCTGCTGAGAACATTGCTGTCTTTTTGTTTGAATTATGTTGTTCTATTTGAGAATCCTATTCTTATTGCGGATTGGCACAAAGTCATTTCAAACGTATTGCTTCTTCCAACGAATATTCGAATGCTACATTAGTTAATTCATTAGTTTAGATTCCAAAGCAACCAACACTTTAGAAGCCGTGGGAAGGACAAAAATGGCCAATCATTTCACAAAATTAGTACCGGTTTTTCCTTAGGCATGAAACCTGCATATACCAGTGTTTAGAAGCTCGAACTTCTGTCGATGTTAGGGGTGTGACATGCATAAACATGCAAACACTGCATGTTTTTAGGACTACCTAGATTAATCAAGGATTGGAATCAAAACGTAACATTTACTATAAAAAGGCGATAAAATAAAATCAATTAAACTGGCTGAGGACAGTTTCAGTTTAAATGTTGCCGGACACCATTTAGTACCATCGACAGTCGAAATTCAAAGAAGACAAAGGTGAAGACTCGTGATTTTACTCGTTCATGTAAAATATTGCCAAAGTACTACATTTTGCCAAGGTGTCCAACACTGTTCATTGCAGTAGAACACACAATATAAGATAAGAGAAGAATCTTGGAAGAGCTTAAGATGCCCTCATCGTATATTGTCTTTTGTATATTGTTGCTCTTGTGATAATTATTGAATTTGATCATCCCGCGCTTGGTGCACGCAAAGCTAGAGAAAATATAGGATTTCCAGTCCCATGATTTTTTTACGTTCAGCATTCAAGATGTGCGCAGAAACGCGAGCGCTTAGGTCTATCAACATTCTAGCATACATGAAAATGCCTAAATTGGTCTTGTTACGTTGTATGAAAACCCTCATTTGATTCAACGCTAGCCGCAACGACGGCTTTTATCATTTTTCCGTTGCTCCTGTTTTTATTTCATTTATTGTACAATAGTTGCTACGGATTCTGTTAGTCAAATCAGTATTCATAACAGAAATATCGCCTCAGTCTTGGGTAGTTACCTATATTGTGGACCTCAGCGTGAAGCCTTTGTACTCTTTTGCCTGGCCTCTTCCCCTCTAAAAGAGTACAAAATGAAATGACGAATTCTCTGTAGTGCCTGAGGACCAATTCTAACCTATAATGTATGGCTGTTAATGTGCAGTAGACAACCAGAGAATAGTGGAAGGAGGAAAAGCAATGTCCATGACAGGCCTCGACATTTACGGTTTCCGATTGCCCAGGAGTATGACACCAGGCAAAACCGTCGATGGGTTAAGAAACAGCCATTGCCCAAACTTGTGTGAACTATGCATCAGAGTCCAGCGCACTCTCTGCACACACGTAATAGTTCGGGTGGTAGTTGGCTCTATGATAATTGTCATTTTTAACACGTTTCCAAAAGCATACGCAACCAATTCACCCCCTCCCCCAGTGTACGCTTTGTACTCTCGTGAAAATGATGATAAAAATGGACGACCCGTTGCGCCTCAAGTCTTGTCTTAATCCTCATTAGTGACACATTTCACGATTGCAATTTTACCCCCCACGGTTGTATTATTTCAACAGGATTTCTCTCTTCTAAAACATACTGTAAAAATGCTCAGTTAAATGTGTACATTTGGAGGAGTGTGCCTTCTGCTTGGTATGTAACATTAAGACAGTAAAGACACTATATCTTTTTGCCAAAATTGCTTACACGGGCGTCGCTAGACCATTTTAAAGAGGGGAGGGGTGTCATCGAGATTTGCTGACGGACCTTCACCGGATTTCATGAGTGTAATAGTTATCTGATTAACAATAATCTTATTTTTGAACGTAATCCCACATCTTCAACCTTTACTTTTCCATTCATACCGACAGCACCACACAACCAAACTGACAAATGGAGGGTGAGACCTCTGCCCCCCCCGTAGCGAGCCCAGTGACTGCTTATGCAAGTGTAATCGTCGTAGTTTCAAGTATAAGGTGACCACTTAATTTTAGAATTTTAAATAGCTGAATGATCTGAAAGTAATGACGCACAAACATTCACTTCGGACGATTATAATGCTATATTCTAACAAGACTCTAAGAGTTTGTCAGGTATTAGGCTCCTCGCCGAAAACGTGTACAGTTGAGTATATTTCCATTATCAAGTTTTCTACTAAAAATTGAACTAATTAGGAGAAAACAAACCTGACGAAGACGGGAATTGGTAAGATTACATGCACAAAGGTAAGATTACAAAGTAAAATGATGACTTCATACTATCACTTTGCAATACAAATTAAGTTTTTACGACAAAAGTACTCGAAAGGTACTCAGTCCAGTACTTTCAAAGTACATTTCTCCTTAAAACTTAAATTTTACACAACTTGGAGTGTCTGAGGTCTTATATAAAATAAACTTTTTAAAGCAAAAATGGACTCTACTTATGAATTTGAAAAGTAAAAGTCTGTAAACTTGAATGAAAAATGCTTCTAAATAGCAAGTTAAAACCAAAGGTATTTAGTTTTCCTTACAAATATACTGTACTTAAAAGAACGAAAGCAAATATAACATACCAGTCATAGATGAACTTGCAATGAAAAAGAATAAAACGGTAATCCCAAAACAGCTAACATCCATTCTTTTCCCTTTGACAGTTTTTCACAGCAGTAGCAGTCAATCGGCCACACGGCTTTAAGCAAGAATTCTCCACTCGCCCAGGCTCAAACTGTTTCTTCCTCTATGAAATAACAGACTGGCGGAAATTCAGGATGCTTTGCGAAGGAAACGTCATCCTTATGCTTGCACACTATGATATTTTAGGACGTCGTTGTCTATTGGCGGTAGCTACAGTACCCGAGGAATGACGCTAGAAAACACTAATAAGTAGGTGAACTGTTGCGGAACTGCAAATGACATGACAGAAGCCATTTTTAACGACAGCCAACCGCTTCATAACACACCTCGTCTCTTGATATTTAAATTACCTTATAACGCTTTAATGATCTTTCTTTATGGCCTTCGAGGCTAGATTGAGAATTCGCTCTTTTCCATGACAACGTTGCTGACTTTCATTGCGTCGACGGTAAAATTAGCCAGTCAACGCTATTTCATTCAAGTGGACCCAGAGCTGAACGGTATGTTATAAACTTCATCGGTTTTCTTGTATACTTGCCCTTGCTAGTAATTTGACACCCTCCTTTGAGAGGAGGGCATACATGCTTATGTATTAAACCGAATTTCTGTTAAACAGTAAACCCAAAATTGGTTTACTGAAAAGGAGGAAACTTTGTTTACTGACTGTACTGTCATAAAAGACAGCGCAAATAAAAAAAAATTGTCAAATTTAAGCGCTGAAATGTCAGTTATACTGACGCGTCTGCCTGCGATGAAATCAGTTTTGGCATGAACATGCTGATCGCATTCGCGGAAAAACTTTAAATTGCGCCAAAATCGCCTTCAAAACGGTAAAATCGAAATATTGACAAAATTATTCAGAAAGAACAAGAAGATGCACGTTGAAACACTCAATTTAACAAACCCACAGTATGCCCCTTTAGAGAACGTACTTGCAACGTGCAAGCAGAGCAGAATTCGTCAACAAATTCAACCCGTGAACAGTTTTAACTTGGATGACAACAAAGGGTACAGCTTGATGCAGGCCTCATACATCAAACTGTGCGCGGATGACTCTGCTGTTGCCAAAATATCTGAAGTAGTTTGAAGTTGTATGTATTGACACTGAATAATAAACGAATGGCGGAAGTGATCCAGTCAAACAGACGCCTTAGGTATTTTTTTTTAGATTACTTTAGGCGTATATGTCATGTCGTACTTCTTTTTCTGGCTCCAAGGCCTGGTAGGATTAACAATCACCCATGTTATTGCATAATTTAGTCCTCAGATCTTGTTTTTCATTTTATATTTCTGTCACTTGAAAGGAATTCTTGTAGAAACCAGAGAATGTGGGGAATTCAAGGAGCACATTGAAAATATGGGGAGGACATTTCGCGAAAGGATGTTTTCTTTTTGTAGGCCTAACAATATTAAACAAATTTGAAGACAAAGACAACATTTTCCGTCTGGTCGACCGTGCGTGTGATTTTCTTTTAGTATTTTGCACGTAAAGCGACTAGGAATGTTTTCAGCAGGGAAGTGAAAATCTAATGAACATTATTGGCGAAATTATTTTCAACATGGCGGAAGGCAATGTGTTGGGCTTGGTGCAGAGCAACTGTCATTGAATAGTGGCTCCGTAAATACAACAGTCATCTCACTGCTTACCCCTGTTGACCAGTGAAAGCATTACCGTAGTCACGGCATCCGTTCATAGAGGAGCGGTACACTTTTCACTTTACTATGAAAACTAATCCTCACCAGAAAAGGAACAATATTTTACAAAGCAACATCCGTCCCTACTCACCACACAAAAAAAATGACTCAGAGAGCCAATACATGCCTCCATTCACCCGTAATGGAAAAATCTTCCTCCAACTTGGGGGGTGCAGTTTGCCTGATATCTGACTTACAAATTTCCCTTAATTTGGGGGTAATTAAAATTTCTAAGAATTTACGAGTAAAAGGTGGCACCGACGTTCATAGAAACATCTAAGAAATAAGTTCATCATAAATATAGGAGGTAAGATAAAGGCGTAAAAACCAACACCTGCTTGGATAGAATTTAAACTTGCCCTAAGTTCAGCGGCTTGGCCAGCAGGGAACCGGGAGGGGAAGTTGTCCCCTTAAAATACTGTTTGTTTTATTTTGAGGAAGTTGAAGCACCAGCACTCGAGACACGTTACCGTCACCTTGGGAGGGGAGACCGGTGATTCTTTGGAGGATTAAAAAATGTGACATTCGGCTTTGGAAAAATCAATTTCTCATTAACGCTCAACCCATGAGCTGATCTAGCCCCTGCTCAAGCGGGCATCAACCGAGCGCGAAGGGTCAATAGCACAAATGTTTATTGGCCTGCTGAATGTAGTGAAGATTATCATTTGTCAAGTGTCAAACGCTGCTGACTCAAAAGAGAAAGGTTGAAATTTCAAAACGCCAATAATCTTTTATACTTAGTATTTTCTCAATTTTATATTTAGAATAGTTCAAATGAAATTTTTACCTCCAGAAATAAAACAAGTCGTTGGTCTATTGTCTAACGCTCCTGACTTTAGAGCGTGAGGTTGCGAGTTGAAATCCTCGCCCTGAACAGGCAAACAAATGAAGTTTTTAAATCAACTCTTCAATTGCCTCTTTGTTTTGCTGATTCCCAGTAATATCCAATTTAACGTGTTCTGTTACAATTGGGCAAAGATTTCAGAGCACCCTACATCTTGTGTCTGAGTTTCAGAATTAGAATTCCGGGAAACACAAAATTGCAAATGTGAATTCAGCGCTGTTCAAACTAATTTTGAAAAAAGGTACCAAAGTCACCATTCACACTAACATGAATTAACTGAAAATTAATAGAACCAGGCATCTTCAGATATCCATTTTTAAAACAACGCACTTAAACCAACGATTTGAATACTTAAGCCTTTAGTTAATATGTAGGCCTAATAGATTATTCCACTGAGTATATGAGCTATGTGTATAATGTTATCTGCACTTTGTACATGCATGTACCACTTCATAAAAACAACTGTCACCTTCTTTTACTTTTTACATTAGGCCTATATTTAATCGTTATTTTTTCAGTTTAATTTTTTGACTTTTACGTCCATTTTTTATTCATGGTGCATGATGCTTTTACCCATTCCTGACACCTAAGAGTGGCCATGGGAGAATTTTTGGATGCACGTTTGTGCAAACCTATACTCTTCCTCAATGTGTGGAGCTTTTTGGCGCCCTGTTTGGGGTTACGTGTTTAACAATTGTCCATACTTTCCCGGCCGACCGAGGGCACTGTTGCTGTGATGTCATTCAAGGGACGCACGGATCAGTATAGGCCCCTTACAGGATTTCTAATATTGTAAACCCACAATTTGCTCGTTGGTTAGTTGGTTAATTCACAATAATTCAAATCACAATAAAGATATAATGAAGCACAGATATTTCCAGAATGAATAAGGGGTGGTGAATGATGGATACCAAAATGCTTGTACATGGCCTAGTTCTTATTCGTCACAATAATGTTCATGTGTGACTATAACCATAAGGTATAGAAGAGAGAGAGAGAGAGAGAAAGAGAGAGTAAAAACGTTAGCTAACTGACCGTACAGCTGAACAATGGAAATAAGCAAGGATTTCTAAACTCAAAGCAATACGTAAACATCTTGGGAATGAAGATAGATGTAAATACAACTGCTTAATTATAAAACAATGAATGTACAATAGAAATCTGATATACGTGTACTGAAGTGGGAAAACTGTATTGGAACGGATGATATTCTTCAAGTAGTTCTTAAAACCATGTATAATTCAAAAGCTCGTTCAGTGTTTGTTTAACATATTACCATGAACTTGCACAATGTAGTATCAAAGAAGAGGAAACTTGGAACTGCAATTTACCAACATTCCAACGGTTGTTTTAGTACATAGTGAACCAGATACTTTTCCCTCTACTAATTGCATTGCAGCCACAGTGTTTCTAATGGACATCGAAATTCGCATGAGCATAAAAACAAAAGACCACAAGAATACGTTTTAATTAAATAAGGTTTATTGTTGAAACATGAGTGTATTTAAAAAGTTGGAGGAAAATAGCTTCTTAAATTAACAGTTTAAGCCTCAAGTGTAGCTAATTGTAATAGTTCGTGCAAGTAAGAACGAGTGACAAACTGAAAGTGAGCAAATACGTAGCCTGTGACCACTTTGAAGAAATTCTACCTAAAACGTGACTATAATTATTAATACTCGGATAAACAAGGTATATATTAGGGGGCCTACCATGAAGGTTAATTTTTACTAATACCAGAAATAATTTTAACAATTGTCAAGATTAAATTCTGGGTCAAGTCATCCTCGTCCCCTTGGCCTGGTGTCATAGCATTCGACGCATCCCGTCTGCTTTTAGGCTTTCGGCATGGAAAGGAATTCAGAGAGAGAAACAAGTCGTGTTTAAGGCGGGAAAATTAGCAAGTTAATAATTCCGACAAAGAATAATTAATTCCAAGTCTACGAGCTTTATTTGAACAGGTATTTTGCTGCCATTTTTTTCTCATGAAATAATGTCACTTTTGCCCGCAGCCGCAAATGTTTTTGTACCGAGTATTCAAAAGTTCTGACAAGTAAAGTATCAGCATTTTGAGCAGCTGTCAATTGATTTCCCCTTCTAAAAATAACTGAAGAAAAGTTACCTCTACAGCCCAGCAGCTCAAACCGGATGCAAATATACCTTTGCCAGCTCTGGGGCTCAATTTGGACGTAACGTGTTTGCAGAGGCTCCGGGAATAAGACAGTGACCTGAGATTCGTTGTCAGTGTTACCCTGAAACTAATGACCGGTGAAAACAAATAAACTGAACGGGAAAACCCCAGTATAAAAACAGATTTTGACACCCATTTAATAGCTTTACAAATTTCATTTTAAGCACGTTACCTCCTGTACTCGGTGCCAAGACGGTAATTGGTTTGGTACAAACTCTTCTCCAAGTGCAATGTCGTTGGGAACTACACGAGCATTACTTATACCGATCTACCTAATGCATTTCTACCTTTGCGCGTTTGCCATTCATTTTATTAAGTAGGTAGGTCGCAACTCAGTCAATAATGTTATTAATCTGAAACTGGCGCTACACCAATGAATTTGATGGAGCTTACAAACAAAAACACACTATGACTTTTCAATATCCCCCTGCATATTTTATGAACGGCTCCTTGCGTGAAAATAAAAATCACTTTTTGTAAGTGTTGGTTCCCAAAGTGCTTGCCTACCACTTTAGGTCCTCCACTGGCCGTGATGTAGTTCCAGTTTACTCCGTCAGCGCTGTATTGCACTCGGTATGATTTGGTCCAAACATTACTGAAGTGCCGTCCCTGTGTGATGAGTCCGCTGACCGTGATTTTGTTTCCTAAGTCTACGCGGATCCATTGATTTGTGTTTATTGGGTCGGGACACCAAGCACCTACAGAAAAGACCGTGTCGAAACAGGAAACACAACAAATACAAAAAAATCATGCATGCATGGAAACAAGATTCTTAATGTCAACCCAACACCTGAAAAAAACTTGTGGATTGGTCTCCTGTTGATTTTTTTAGTCCAGTATTTGAAAGTGTGACGCACTTTTGTCGCTCAAGAAATGTTCATTTTTAGTATCGAAAAATCTCACACTTTTCAGCGCACCCACGACAAATTTTATTTCACTTGTGGACGTGTGAGTAATTGAATGACCATTGAAAAGAGAAAAAAAGAAGAAAACATTGACCTGACGTTTGACAGGAAAAATGACAATCCGGATTAATGTCAAATTTTGATGAAATCTATCACTTTCGGGCTAATGAAGTGAAATCATTTTCCACGTTGTGAGATGGTTCGAACACAAGAGCAAAACGTGTTCATAGATACAAATCCACCAATTTGATTTTTATACATCAGCCGTGCGAATCACGCTGAAACACTGTTATCGTCGACTTTATTTCTTTCTTTATTTCTTCGGGCACACGTTTACAAACAATGCAATATCTTCCAAATTCATTCACCGATTTCAGCCAAATTTGGATAGAATCTAGCTTGGCCGGGGTTTCACGTGTAGAGCCTAGCATAATAGCCAATGGTCACTGGTGGTCATTAATGTGAAGTTACAAATTCTTCCTTCTTCTTCTACAATCTTGGTCGAACTATTGTCAAACTTTGTCTATGATATCTCTGGACCTAGTGTCATAAAATGTGTTCATAGAAGTTGGCCTGGGATCACCCAGTGTTCAGCAGTGGTAATTTTCCTTGAAATAACAAAATGCTTCCCCCGACAGTCTTGGTCCAACCACTGTCAAAATTGATCATTTACAGCTTTGGAAAAAGCCTCAAATTGGATGTTCACAGAAATTGGCCACTGGTCACCTACTGGTCATCAGGAAAAAGTTTCTTTCATTGCACTGTCGAATACTCGCCCGTTTTGCTATATCTATCGGTATCTGCCGCCTGCTTTTGCCGATATCGGCAACATCTGGAGATAATCTTCCTTGACACGATTCATGTCCTAAGTGACCAGCTTACAGAGTCAAAGGTAACCTAGTGCTCACGAGAGGTCATTTGCGTTTAAAATACAAAATAATTTTCCTCACCCTGGTCATGACTCAATCAGTCCCAAATTAGGGCGGTGATATTTTTGCAGGAATCGCCATGTGGGGGGTTAACAGAATTTGGCCAATGGTCACCTCATAGTGTGTTGGGGTATTTTTTCTCCCAAAACGTTCTTCTATCGGTTGTCCAATAAAACTTCATCGTTTTCATCTCTGCAGCAAGTCTTCTGTACGGTTTAAACAGAATTTGGCCAGTGGTCACATGGTGGTCCGTGGAGTTTACTCAATTAAGATCAAACTTATTAATGTGGGCTTACTAAATTATTCAGTCGAGAGCCGTGATGTAGATGTACGTAGTCTCAATGTATATTTTGTACTCTGCTCACAGCTAATCATCTAATCGGCCACTGGCCCACGTGTGTTACCCATGTACTACATAGATTCCTTCAAGCTGGAGTTTTGATGATGATTCCTGTTGGATATTTCCCAAATTGTGTGTCCCTTTTTTCTGCAACTAAATATATTTACAAACGGGGATATACAACAAACTTTTACAATTCCCTTGACTGATCCTCTAGGAAGCCACTTTTTATTTTTTAATGCTAAGCATTAGTTGAAGGAGCGGGCTAAAGCGTAGGAGAGGTTGGGTTGGAATTATCGAGCTGGGTAGCTTATTTGAAGTGGATTGGGATTTGTTGGGTGCTCGATTAGGTGAGGCTGGGTTCGGTCAGGTTAGGTTGGTTTGGGTTGGGTCAGGTTGGTTTGGGTCGGGTTGGATTTGGTTGAATCGAGTTGGGTTGGGTTAAGATACTGGGTTTGGTTGGGTTTGATACATAAAATTTACCGTTGATGTTCAGCCGAGATCTCTCTTTACCATAACCAACACGACCAGCTTGAGAGACTGACAGACTAATGGTAGGAATGGCTCCGCTCTCCATCCCTAATGGATCTCGACAAACTGTTGGAAAGAGTAAATAAACAACAACAACAAAAAGTTCAGAAAAAGAGTCCAGGCTATATTTGTGATTTTCTTCCAGAAGATTCAAAGACGTTAGTCCTCATGTTATCGCCGGAAGAGTTAGTTTCAGTACCTATAAGCCTGATTGTTTCATTTCTTTTGGGGGGATGGCAAGGAAATAGTGAAAATCACGAAAACAGCACTAATATGGATTTTCTAGTTTTCTGGTTCCAAAAGGGCCCATGAAATTGTACGCTTGCGCACAGTAACGAAAGCGACAATGTGCTATATCTAACGTTAACACAGGAGTGGATTCCACGAAAACAATAACTTAGCCGCCAGGCAATGTGTGTCATACCAAACGAGAACGTTGATTGCTCAGAACATGCAGTCTAAGTGTTGTATCTCTGGGAAAATCGCTAGGGCTGCCTCCGAATCACTTGGCTGCGGATTGAAATTACACACGACTAATTAGGAACCAGCTACGGCCAATACCATAGACTTTTGTGTAATTTCCTTTCGCAGCCAAGGAATTCGGACATCGCAGCTGTTTGTAGAGCGATTTCGTAGACTTGAAATCAAGTCTATAATTGGCTGGGTGTAGTCCACAAGGGTTCGGCGATCAATTTAATAACACGGGAAAGGTCATTGCAACCTTGCTCCCCAATACGCGTTTCCGACGGTGCCAAATTACCGACTTCAACAATTTGCAAGCCCTTTTGTGCACAATATGGGTTTGCGACCAAAATTGGACGGAACACTCTGATTGGTTAAGAATCCCGATAATATAAATATTTTTTCCAGGAGCAGTTTAATTGGTCAGTTGAACGCTTATTAAACAATAACCACAGTCTAATTCATTTTAGAGGGTGTTTACATTATCTTAAAAAGCTGATTTGCCATGATTCTCTTGCCAGGAAAAGATAATAGATTTGTTCTGGAATAATTATGTATACTTTGCCTCTGAGCGTCGTATTAAAAGCGATATTAATGCAAGATATGAAAGAAACTGGCACTTATCAATTGTGGATATTCCTATAAATAAATAAGTGAGCCTGTTCTCTAGTGTGAGCTATTATTGGCGCTCTGCGTGGAAATATATGAATCATTCAGTTAAGTTGTTGCGTGTCACTAATATCTATCCAGAATCTGGTTGATTAATTTAAGTCGTGGGCCGACGTGCGCCGAAACCTGATGGTGTTCTATAGCCGCCAAAATTGCGCCGCGTCGCAGCGTCGCCCCGACGCGACGCTACGACAGGTCCGTCGCGTCGTCCTGTTGAGTCATGGCGTTGCGTCGTGTAGTTTCTTGATGCCGTCGTGCGTCGCGTCGCCTGTTCTTGTATGGTTTTTACACAGTGTGGGTTAGACCGTCGCCTCGTGCCGTCGTGCTGTCGCGTCCTGATGTTTTGCTGTCCCGTCGTGTCGTCGCACCTTCGTGTCGTGCTATTGCGTCGTGTCGTCGTCTGTCATATCGTGCTGTCGTGCCTTACTGTTTCTAAAAATGGCTGATGATTACTAATGCCAATATAGAGCGTACTGGTATGTCATACGTCCTGGGGAAAAAAAAGGTGCGTGCATAGGGTTGCACTACACCAAATACGCGCCCCAAAAAACAGTGAAAAATCAGACCAAAATAGCACCGCCTGTTGACTCTCGGGAAGGGGTTGTCCTCCGTTTTTTCATAGGAAATTCAAAATTAATGCCAGAAGATCACTTTTCATTTCAATTTTATGGGAGTTAGTCCAGCGAATTTGTTTATTCTCCTTTCCTCGAAGAAACCCCCAACTTCATAGTAGTAAAACTATGCGCTAAGCTCTGAATGTAGGCGCCCGCCTCTGTCCAAAATAGGCCCACAATATGGGGCTTTCTTCTTGAAGGAAATATCCCGCATTGGAAACTGCCAGTCCCAACTTTGCGTAAAACCCCCGTGGGATCACAAAATATAAAAGTGCTCGCGCCCAGAAACCCAACAGTTTGGTGGAATGCACCCATAGGGCCTACAAGATTGATCATAAACATTATTACCCATTGGTATTGAACTTTTCACATGGTTCTACCAGTAATGAGGCGATAGTGAGAGCATGATGCGACGGTACGATGCGACGGCAAGACACAACGGCACAACAAGACAGGTCGATACTACGAGACGGCAAGACACCAGGACACGATGCAACGACGCGACGCCAAGACGGCACGACGTAATGCATTAAACACAGTAGAAAAGTAACGAGAAAGGAGGCGAGGGCCCGACGCGACGGCACGATGCGACACAGCAGTCGTGTCGTCGTGTCGTGGCGTCGCGTCCTGGTGTCGGGACATTTTGGCCGAAGACGTTAGTGATCGAATTGATTAATTTCTGTTAAGGAGTGCGCTCGCACAACCAGTTTTTACTTACTGTCACTAACGTCTTGGGAATCTTGCAGGAATGAGGGTGCGGCAGTTGTATGCAAATGACTGATCCTCTTAAATATTTACAGCCTTGGTATTATAATTATGTACATGTACTTTAAAGTTCGAACAACATGGCGGCTTCACGCGATCAAGTACCCTGTCGATAGTGTCTGGTTTGTGGCAGGGATTAGTGGCATGTAAGTCATATTTTTCACACCATACTAGACATGAAATTGCAACCCTTCTAAAAGATTTCGTTGGGGACTACAGTTGTGCTGCATCGCATTGCGTTTTCGATATCTATGGCAGAAAAATTGGGAAAACAAAATCCTTGTCTGACACCACGCAAGAAATACGTTGACATTTTTTTGCAACTCACAATGAGCATGCTGCCTGAGGCCGAATTACTCATACAAACGGGAAATAAACCTACACGTGCAGCTGGAAAACGACAACCAACTTGCAGTCCGGGTACTTCATCCTCGAAGGTTTAGGTCTACATGGTCTCTAAGGACGTTTTAATTGGCTGGGGAGGGCATAATGACTGTACATAATTATGGTCACCAAGAACAGCTTGCTCTGACCTAGGCCTAACCTAGTCTGAGTATCACCCGTTCCACTCCGTGCTAACTCCGTACGAACGTCTGTGTTGTCGTGTCTGTGTTGACGGGACTGCAGACAGCCATGTTGCATGTGACCTTACCATGGTGTATTATTGAGGTTATCGAAATTTATTATGCATGCGAGTGCAAATTGGCTCCCTTGGAAAGCCGAGGGAAAAATAAAGAACATGTTAAAACGCTGCTGCAGGATTCCCAAGACGTTAGTGCGAGCTGTTGCACAGTCTAATTATGAGTCCTTAGGGGGCGCACTATGCACGGTGTCCGCTATCAAGCACTAACGTCTTGGAACCAAGACTAGGTGTCGGGGCGATGGGACAACGCGACGCAATTTTGGCGGCTATAGGACTCCGTACCGTACTGAACAGCCCACGAGCAAGGGCAGAATCGGTGTGGCATGCTGGATGGATCTCGGGCAACAGTGAACGGGCTCCGCACTAATTGTGACATGACGCAGCGTATGGACGACAAACACGACCGACTAACTACTTGATTTCAGGTCTAATGATTTCGCGGCTTTCGGAGCAACGAGCCCCATAGAGACAACGTTCATTACAATCGAACACTTCATTCTATAGCGGACAACAACGGTTTTTGGTGCAAGCAGACGACCCTATAGCGTGGAATTTTTCAACGACAGACCTTGTGAAATACCAAAGTGTAGAGGAGTAATTTCGGGAGGATCTAAACACGACACCATGAACAACACACAATTTTCCTTCATTAGTAAGATTTTCAAATGACGGTATATCTCAGAAAAGTATAAAAAGTGGATTTTACGAACCCTTCTAACAACGAAAAAAAAATCGAAATTGCAAAACTTTGCACTAATTCATCATTTAATTTTTAGTAGAAAATGAGTTTTCTGGGACGAAATCTAGAAAAAAAATTAAAGATTCCACCCTTAATGCATTGGTTTGAGGCAGTCATTTTGAATCCGCCAGATAAAATAATCAGGTAATATAATAATCAGGTCATTTTGAACCCCCCAAAATCGTATTCATTTAACGGTGCACGAAAATTCAAAGCCGTGTGGTATATCCAACACGAGGATGATGATTTTCTGTTAGATTGTACCGATTTCGCTAGTACTGATACCATTTCATGAGGTAGGATCGTTAAATTAGTGACATTTCCCGTTCATATCACTTCTGCTGCTGTGGACACTGACAAGTGCCGTACCGAGACGTCGAAGTCGTCACGTCCGCCCCAGTACTTGAACATGTACATATCACGTGTACACAATGTAAACACGCATACATGCACAACTGCACTTGCCCCGTGACCCGCCGTTACAAGAATGTTATTCAAAAGTTTGCCGTTACAAGACCATCCTATTTTTTTGTCCAAAGGTTCGACAAAGCAATAATTCCTGACTCAGAGATTTAACATTTATTAGGACATTATTAGAATTTGCTTAGCTGAAATTTGTGACGTATTTTTTCATTGCAAAGTGTCTGGATTCACACGATTTGGAGCGAAAATTTGGTTCAAATTCAGACACATTTTACCAAACGTTGTTTCCGGCAAATTCTCAGTTTTTGAGTGAAATCGAATCAGACAGTCTTTTAGTTTATCTGAATCTAGGTTTTTATAACCAGAAAAACTCATTTTTCATAGATATTGATCAAATATGGCAACAATTTTTTTCAGGTGAAAAATAAAATAATTTTTAGGATTATTTAAAACCGCATTTCATTATTTTTTTTAGCCAAAAAAAATTAACGATTAATGTAATTTGGATTTGTCATGAAAAATTTCTTTATTTATGAACCGTTTCCCTTAAAATCAATTAATGAAGATGATGCCTCCTTTTTCAATCAGAGCGCGATAAATCCGACATAATTGTTGTTGTGCTGTTAAGTGCCAATCTTCCGCACACGCACTTTGGTAATGAGCGCCATGAACATAAGTGACAAGCTAATAGCAAATCGTGCGTTCTATATTTTAACCGCGTGGAAGTCCACGCGCGAGTTACTGGGCATTCAGGATATCCAGTGCAATTAAAAATAACGATCAGTATAAGACTATTGTGTTTACGGACAAAGTTGGCATTCCGATCGGCTTCCGAGTTCAATTTCAAAAGTGAAATATCGAACTCCAAATTTCTGCTCTTCTGCTACAGGTTTTAGTGCAGATAAAGTACCTTCCTTAGCAGTCGTCTTCCAGGGTGGTTTGTAGAATTCCTCTTCGTAAGACGACTCCTTCGCTAGACGCTTCAAGAGGCGCAAATCTTGACAATTGCAGGAGGGGTCGTCAGATTGCGGAAACCAGCGTTTCGCGCCTGACTTGTTTGGGTCAGGCATCTTACAAAAGCCACAACATCCGACGGAAGGGCCAGCCTCTGTCGAATTAATCAGTAGTAAAGGTATATTATTAGTTAGATGGGCTTTAGTCATGCACAGGATTGGGTGGAATAGGGTTAAGGTTTGGTAACTGTGGTTTGATTGTTTTTGGGTTGGCTGGAGTTGGTTGGCGTGGCTAGGCTTTGGGTCTCATTTAGTTGGTTTACTGGTATTGTATAGGGCGACTCGCGCACGGTACATATCATACTGACACTGCTATATCATGAATCTGGCGAAGATCAATAATGGAGAATGCACCATTCATCATTGACATCGCCAATGCAACGTGAATAAATCTGCAGACAACTCAAGTCACGCTATGTCCAACAACCAGCGCTGTTTCCCTGTATGCCCTTATAATGAATTATGAAAGAAGACTCGGAACTTGATATTACATAAAGTGGAGATTTGAGACGGGCTTTTACGTGTAGAGTCTCTCTGTATTTCGGGCAAGATAACCACATGACAAACACTGATTTCGCTGATTGCGAGCATTGACCATTCAATCGTGCCATTAATTGACATTGCCACAACGAAATTAGTGAACTATACAGTTAATTAAACGTGCTGGAGGCTTAAATTTTTCCATAACGTTTGAAGTACCGTACTTTTTTAACTCATGGAGTCCAACGAACGGTACCTATATACACATGTGTTATTGCTTAAATCACGCATGGGTGCATGGGATTTGGGTGTACTACAAACACGTGTTTTGAAAGTCCGGAAGTTATGCAATACCAATCTGGCCAACGTGGCAACGTGCCAAGGCCAGTTCACACGATCATGAGCAGCGATCCCGGGGAGAGGGGGGCAATATATACCCCCGTACCTTTTGACGTGGGGGATTACCAGTAATTATAATCAGCCACCCCCACACACTTTTCAAGTCACTGACTACGCGCACCCTTAGCCTGAACCATCACAACTCTATATTTGCCAGCGTCACGATCTCACGTGGGATGAAGACCGTGCTGATCTTTCAGAAAACATCCCCTCCCCCGGCATGTGACACGAAATCTCCGCCGATGCATACTTCTAGAGGCGAATGTGAAAGCGAAGCGAATTTGACATAGATTCACGATGAGTTGATGCACATGCGCGTTGACTAGCATAATGCCACCCAGATTCATGGCTCACATCCAAGGCCCTACATGGATAACTTTGCTGAGAGTTATTGAGAGGCACATGAAAAAAAACATGACATTGACATATAGCCAATGTTGCTGTCTCGCTGTACCTTAATTGCACATGCAATTTTCGGTAACTTTCTCAGAGAATTCTTGAAATATACAGCAGCAAATTCATAATTTGAAAGAAATAATAAACAGCGTGGATTCCATAAAGTGAAAAGCGATACTCCTTTCAATTGTTTGTGTTGAATATCAATTACTAAATATTATTGGATAAATAATGGAAGTTGGTAAACAAAATACCTAACGTACAAATCGAGTCCCAGTCAATGTAAAATATTAGCGACGTGAAACAGTAATCTCATTACATTCCATATTGTTACTAACTCGGTAGAGCGAAGACACTATAGTTTATTTGGCAATTATCAGCCCATGGTTAACTTTTCACAGAGGCATCGTTCATCTTTGCATCTGTGATGCAAGATAGGCAATCGATATTGCGAAGATGCTTCGTTAAAACGACGCAGATTGATGATGCAACATCGATATTACGTACGGTTTGCGGTCCACAAAATTTACGGCCAAGGTTGAACATTAACATCGCGATATCAGGCACCTGTGCGCCGTTCATATTGCTGAGGAGGATAATTGATATGGCGAAAGTTGAACGTATATGTGGCAAACGTTATCTTCAAAATTTCGTTACAAGACCACCCTAAAACAATTACAGCCATTCTGATAAAGGAAACGAACAAAGAAAAATAAATTGCCAATCTTTCAGTGTGTTTTCCAACAGTCGTTTTAACCATTATACTCTATAATTCTAACATTTTTCCAGACAAAAATAGGTTGAATGGATGTCGTGTGAAATGAAAGCGCTTCTTTACTAGCCGCGCTAAACCTATAAGGTAATAAAATATGGACCCCACCTTGTTCTGAGGATGTCAGAGTGAAATTTCCTAAAATTGAACAAAGTTGTCATGAACTCTTGCGGCATTTTTGATGGTCAGAGTTAAATTAATAAAAAAAATGATGCATTCTGTTAAAAACAAAATTTCATTATTTAAACATAGGCTTTCCTTGGTAATATGAAGCATTTTTATGCGCATGTAATCAAGACGGATTTCGCGTGCAAGTGGTAGAACCGTTTTGGTCACTACGTCTGAACACCGTGTCGAGAAAATACGTCATTGCCAAATGACGGCGGTCAAAGATAAAATTCGGTGGTTATAGGCATATAATTTAACACTTTTGAAAAGTAAATTTTTCCTTTATGCTTTGAGATGCCCTCATGCCTAAGAATAATTCATCATTGGTAAATTAACAATAAAGTTGCAAATATTAACAAGACACCCATAGGTAAAATTCTTCAAGTTTTGAAAGTAATGAAAAGATCGAGGGAAACACAGCAACGGATAGAATATATATAATGACCTTTGTTTTTCCTCCAGTTTCCTGGGCAACTTGGACGAGTCTCATATGTTTTCAAAAATATAAATCCAAAACAATATCAACTACAAGGACAATTAAAACCGAGACATAGTGCAAAGTCATCTGTGACCATTATGACATCTATTGTACGTCAAAATGAAGTTCAACGAAATTAAACAAACTTGGCCTGAAAGCATGTGGCAAAAGACGAATTACTTTTCTGAATGATATGGTTAGTCGTTCAAAAGGCGACATTGAAAACTCACTGAAAGCGTGTTCTCCTGGTTAGACCTCGAGTAGAAAATGGTGGACATTGTGTGATAAAAGACGAAACCAAACCATTCAAATACGTAAATTCGATTCCACTGCACGAAATAGAGCAAACACATACGTACTTTGAATGAAAATGCTTTAAATTAGCAAAGAAAACGAAAAGAATACAAATACTTTATCGACGAATATATGTACTGTAATAAGAAAAACAGTGAATATAACGTACCAATCATTGCTGAACATGCAATGTAAAAGAAAGAAACGGTAACGGCGTTCATGGTTATGTACACCAACAGAAAACAGCTACACGGCTTTGAGAAAAATGTCCTCCACTCGCCCTGGTTTACAGTGGTCCTTCCTCAATGATGAGTAGATGACTTCAGGGGTTTGTGTAAAGGAAACGCTAATCGTTTGCTTACACACTGCAATTTGTTTCAGGATGTCATCGGTCTATTAGCGGTTACCAAGGTAACCGAGGTACGACACTAGAAAAAAAAAGATCAATATAGGTTTTCACGTGACGTAATAGGACAAGAAAAGGCATTTCAGAAAGTGTACCATTTACTTGGAGGCGCATGCTGTTTCTGGATAATGCTGAACATTAAAATCACGTGACTGAAAATCATCAAGTGATGAAAGTGTTGCGGAAGTGCATGATTTGTGAGACAGAAGCCAATGTCATGCAGTCTTGAATAGCAGCAAGATTCTACATAGAAATGAAGTCATTTTCTTTTCTGAGTTATGAAGTCAACCTTAAATATTGGATGGAATACATGAAAGAACGCATTGCGATATTTACAACTACTGTGTCGTTTTCAGCATACTCTTGATTTTACGTCAGTGTATGCGCTTGGATCAGTGGTACGTATGGTGGAAAACAAAAGAAAGACCAGTCCTTACATGGTCTACAAGGTGGAGAATGTTGCAACATGCTATCAGAAGCTGTTTGTAAAATTTGCATCTTGCCACAAGTTTTTTAATTCCATGGGCATGAAGAGATACGTGAACATGGTAGGACCCTTTCTTAAATGAATACCTATCCCTTGGTCTCCTGTTCACCAACACGTTTTCAACAATATTTTTATGATAAATATTTGTTTCTAATATTTCTCATTTCTGGCAGTTTTTTTGCAGTGCTGCATCGACAATTAGGTTGACTACTTTTGGAAGGAGTTTGAAGACGAGTTTCTCACCAAAGTATATTTTGGAACGTCACATTATTTATTTATTATAAATGGACGTTCAGCCTTGGACTTCTAGGCGAGCAGGGAGGAGAAAGTGTTCTTGCCAGACTGAACAAAATGCAGAGAAGCATGCGAGCTGCTTCAGTGAAAATCTAGAATTTCTAAAGCTGAAGTAAAAAACCCACTTGGTGCAGACAAGTCTAGCAGTTTCAAGAGTTGAATAAACCTTCTCGAAACTAGCCTTTGATCAAGGCACACGCAGCGAAATGGATAGTTTCTGAAGAGCAAAAAACTGCAGAAGTCTAGTTTTAGCACCGAACCAACGCACGAAGAAAGACTATACAACGAACCGCACGCCCCTCCAGAAATTAACCAACATGGGCATGCTGTAACCGAACTGTGTATGTCGGGGACTCTGCGCGCCGCGGGGCGTGCGTGCGGTTCGTCGCGTAGTCTTTCTTCGTGCGTTCATTTTGTGCTTAAACTAGTCTGCTCCGACTATCCATTTCGAAACGTGGTATAACCATAAACCCAAGTCCAACATAATTTAAGTTAATTATTGAACAAAGTTGGAACTTGTCCTTTTGTATCTCACACATGTATACATTTTTATTTGTTATAAAAAGTATGGTACGGAGTTCTATTTGTGGCAAAATATTTATCATGTGTATGATTTCATTGGCGCCAAGAACATTTTCTACAAAAATACTAAACGGTGTTAATTAATAAACAGTTGGAGTCTGATCAGCAAATGTTATGAGTTCTGATTGAGAGTGCATGTCCTGTTATGGTCTGGCTATTGTGAACATGTACATGCCGTATGGTCTCTGCGCAGTAACATGTCCATGCAGTCCACATTGACATTTATACCAAGGCGTATTCTCTGTAAGAGAGAGGACAATTTCAAGGGCACCAGGCACTACTTAAATCAACTCTGGCAGGGGTGTCTTGCAACTTAACAAAGGCCTCAAAACCCGCTTGATGAAGACCCAGGTACCAGTAGAGTTATAGGTCAAAGTGAAACGAAGTTTTAGCCAGAAAGTTGTTTCGACATCTTTTAATTACTTTTGTATTGGATGTTGAACATTCCCCGCCAGATTATGCATAATTATGAAAAGGCACACATTTAGCACTTCGGTAATTGGAGACAAACTGTTTCATGCTGCTGAAATCATGGGCAAAAATAGACTCCTGAATTTATAATGCTTAGTAAAAAGTCTTTAACTGATGCTTGCTAGTATTCAATTATGTAAATAATCATTATATTACTTTCACAATTATCATAACAAGTGGAACAAGTAATGGGTCTACCAAAGTAACAAATAGGCACGTGTATTCTGCCATTCATTCCACTTACCTCATAATTATCAACAATTCCCATGCTTTTAAGATATATATATACTAAACACCAAAATGTTATTGCAGTATATTGACCCAGTGTTCTGGCGCACCAACTCCGAAATTCGCTGTATTTCGCAGGAATATGCATATGTCCTATCCATCCATGTAACCCTGAAAGGATCAATCGAGCATGCCGTCAACTGCCGTGGCATCGCACTCACACGCGCTTTCTTGACGTGCTCGACGCGCGTGTGCATGTGGCAAATCACGGCACCCTACAGGGACGTGTTTCGGCGGTCATAACCAAGAATTGGTTCGGTGGTTTCTCTTTAATCACCTTGACGGTCTGAGAATAACGTCATCACAGTTACTTTTTACCCATTTAAAATTACCTAAGAAAATCTCTGAAGAATTACAACCTAACCAGTTCTTAGTTGTGACGTTTCACTTCGGTATACCCAATGCGTATACTCCATTATGAGGATACGAAATTAAAACCCAGCAGACCCCTTAAAATAACTTCCAATAAGTTCAACCGCTGAACAGCGCACTGCGTGCGTGTGCATGACTGGAGAGATCAATTTAATTGCATAACTGAACATGTTGCAGCAACGTGCTCATGCGTTTTCCGGCGGTTTCTTCCGAAGATCCAAGCACGCCGGATGAGTGAGACCAGGTTAGACCACAGTTTCACTTTGACAAGTCAATTGACAGTCACGCCTACAACTTTGAATCCTCCTAACACTCGCCACATACATCTCAGCTTTCGCGTTTAGGCTACTCAATACTTGCACTACGGCTTTAATACCAAAACGAAACATGCAGCTGAAAAATGACCTTACAGCTACGGTCGACCACCATGGCCTAATACGCACAGAGATTGGAACGCAAGTTTTCTTATCAGTGATCAGAATTCTTTCACGTTGGCCCCAAGCGTCGACGGCCCTACAAATAAGTGAAATTTTTCGTATCTTTTATTGTTCCCTTTTTCTGCCAAAGGAATGCAAGTGTTCCATTGTGGCATCTCACTGTCGGGCGTGGCACTGCAATGTATGCAGTTTCCTACACCGTCTTCAAACCTGGAGCAAGTACACACGGTATAAGTGAACAGTCAGAAACGCCTATGTGTGAAAGTGCAAAGCTCATTCTTTGATTGACCTTTGGACCAAACTATCGGCACAAAATTTTCTTTAGAGAGACATTGTTCAGTGTGTCAGGATATATGGATAAACGGAGCAATATTCAAAAAGACAATGATTGCATGGCAATTCGAGTCATGTCCATCCAGAGCCTACGCTTTCTAGTTCAGCGGCATAAATGGGGCAGAGCAACATAGACGAGTAGAGACTTTAATGCAGTTAATGCAATTAACCCTACCTGCTGACTGGTGGTGTATGCATATCCGATTGTCGGTCTGCTTATCACAACATTGAAGAAGTAAGATTATTCTCTTTGTCGTGACAGCCCTTGCTACAGACCCAACATTCGTCCGACCACTACTGTTTGATCTTTATGATTGCGTGGCCTCACTCTGTGAGAGGACCCCAATTGGACCCCAACTGCAGTCACTGGTGTTCAGAGTATTTCGTCCAAGTATTTTGCCGCCATGATGTGGAGAATACAGTGTGGAGAAAACCTACTAAGAGACAATACAGTGACTGCGTCCTCAAAGTACGATGAGTAACCGTTAAAATCCGAGCAAGGAAGGACCTGGAATAGCCGTAATGCACTAGGCTGAGCTTCCCTTGACTTGCAAGACGGCGCAGTCACGGCGATCAAGAGTTCTACAGAAATGATTGACGCAGCACCGTTTGAAGACTCCCTTGACTGGAACTTTCGAGGCTTCACGCGGGTAAGTGTCCCAAATCATAAAAAGATCGATCGGCTCAGTTTAGTCTCTTAGAGAATTGGCTAGGATATAATTGCTACAGATGTTTAATATGGGTTTTAAGGGCCAATGTGGAAAGAGTTCTATAGGCGCTATAGAGACGCAACTTGACACAGACGTGCACAAACCCTGTGAGACTGGTCTGAGAAATTTCAAGTGTTTTCCGAGTAAGCGACTTGTTTTTCCTCCTTAATTGAACTTTTCTTGACGTGTTTTTGCTTTGTGAAATCTAATTGGTCACGGTAGAGAATAATTACTGACGTCTGTGATATGGAAATATCCCCGCCAACTTCAGCAAAACGTCGTCCACTTTAACACAGGGCCAATCCAAATTCGTTATCCTCTACACGAAATTTAAAAGCAGGTATTTGATTTCATTACTGAAATTCTTTTAGCAAAAATCGTTCATTCAAATTCCAAAGGTCTTTTTGTTGAATCATATTTGTCAAAGTCGTTAATCAGGCATTAGAGTAGTCAATACGCCGTTTCGTTTCACTTTCAGTGGGATTCACATTTGTTCCAGTGATAAGTGCTTTCTTTATCCTATGTAACATCTAATTTTCCCAAGAAAAAGATTGAACAGTAGATCTTGAGACAGTTTTTGTTGTATTTTGTAAGAAACTTGTGGCGGCCGGGCTCTTTCAGGAAAGCATAGTAGTTCGGGAAAAGCTTATTAACGCTGTCTATGGCAATCACGCCAAGAACTCTGTTTTCATATTTTGTATACCATTCATGTTTTAACGTGGCAAGAGTTCCATGTGTGGACAACCGTACTTTTCCCTTAAAATGTCATAACAGTCATCAAAAAGTGATACCATGTCCTAAAAAGTGAAATTTAGGTGAGAAAATTCCGAAGCATTCACTTAAAAATCCTTTTTTGTTTTCAAACAAGTCTCATGGAATTGAGCACAGGAACGTAATGTTGTCCACATATGGAAGTCTCTCCTTTAACGTTAACTCTGAATTTGTTTCCCTGAACTTTTGCTTTTGAAATTCTGTAAATGTACTGATATATATATTTTTCGAAATGGTCCAGTGAACAGAGATGAAACCCAATGTGCACAGCATCAGCACACACAGCTAAGAGCAAAACAAAGATTTTCTGATTTAACCCTAAAATAGGCGTAAAAAACAAAAAAAGGATAAAATCATGAAAACTTTATGGAACAAAAATATCACACGGTAACGACTTAAAATGAAATACAGAAGGCATTAATTTCTCCAGTTCTCCTAAATTGAACACTTAAAACGCAAAAGAAAATTACGAGTATATCAAAGATCATATTTGCCTTGAGCAGAAGCACCCCTTATTGGTTGAAAAGAGCCACGCTGGTCTGGAGTGTTCGTTTTGTTGGTAGCGACGTGCACGCAGCGCGTGCATCTCATATAGTTTCTCGATAGAGCCTATGTTACGAGGAAAATGTGCCCTTTCATGCTCCAGCTCGGGGTTGATGATTTTTAATTCGACTGCACCTATTGAACAAAGGCAGCAAATATTAAACAGTCGAATGGTAATAGTGTAGTCTCAAATGCCCACAAACGAAGTGGAATGATGGAAAAAAATTAACGGGAAAGCTAAAAACAAATGTGCACAAAACAAATTTCCGGGCGTATCAGAATAGGGAATAAGAACAATCCCCATAAAGAACCCAAACTGTAACATCTGCAAATGCCAACACGTGTTTAACGGAAGTGAGCAGATTTTGCAGAAACTTGTCCGGAAAACCTGTACAGACCCCTGTAAATATTATCCTAGTTGCGTCAATTTTTCGAAATCTTCTGGAGCTGAATCAGTTCCTTCCATTTTAGCCACGTGACGGAGGCCTAAACATATCTCAAAAAGGCAGATAACTTTTTAGTCTGCGAAACAAGGGAACATACCACTCTATGGAGCAGGTTATAGGTATATATGAAGAATATTTCACTGACGAAGTGGTTGTGGTGGGAAATGCCAAAATTCCACCACCAATAGTGGTGTCCTCGGATAGTGTACATGTTCACGTCACCTTCAAGATGGGTTTAAGATCAATAATTATTGTAAGTGCACGAACATCCAAAAAAGCAATATACTCCCTCTAATTCATATTGTGTTTTCAATTTTCCCTTTGGCTTGGGTCCTTATACAGTTGTGCATGAAAATTCCACATGCTAGTCAACGATGTATTGTTACTCGTTCAACCGTGACCTTGGGCACATGATCAGTGTGTCATTGGAAAGGTGACATTCAAGCCTTCCTGAAGTCATAATAATGTCTAAGAAATCTATAGTTTTCCTGAACTTATGGTTGAACGTGAGTTTCCTTTATTTTGATTCACCCTGTATATTTGTAGGTAGGATATTGTCGCCTAAGTGCTTCTTACTTTCGTACAATTCGTCCTTTGTCCACACCGTGCTGGACCTCTTCCAGCGGAAAGATTGGTGCCTTAAAAAGAGCCGATAAATCTTCAAAATTTGTCAGTAGTTTTATCATCGGAAGTTGAGATGCACCTCTATCCTCTATCTACTAATATAAGTTTCATACACATATTTACTGTAGTTAGGGAAATGTCGACATAAGAAGTGAAGTGTTGTTGCGCTACTGCTTTCCACATGTATTTCATTGCAATTCTGACTTTTTCCACACCTGGCAGGCCGTCTTCCCCGCAAAGGAGGCTGCCTATATCCCCGCATAAAAAGACAATCTAAAAATGGTTCAAATCTGGCAATCGTGATATCATCGAAAAGCTCACTTATTGTTTTATCCAATGATGTAGGTTTCATATAGTTATTTACTGTAGTTGAGGGGATATGGGCGAAAGAAGTCGAGAGTATTGCCCTAGTGCTTCTAATTTCCGTACAAAAATTCTGTGTTTGTCCACTCCTGGCTGGCCCTTTTCCATCGCACAGTCTGCTTTCTATACATAAACATAAACAGCCTGACAATTGTCCAAATCTGGTAATCGTGGTATCATTAGAAAGTTTACATGTTCCTCTATCTACTGATGTGAGTTTTATATCCATATTTACTGTAGTTAGTTGAATATCGGCGAAAAAAGAGAAGTCGAGAGTTGTTGCCCTACGCTTCCTATTTCCGGTCCAAATCAAAAAGTTCACGTTGTATCCACTGATTTGAGTTCAATCCATAGTAGTCAAATATCTTCACAATTCGAGATTTGTTTCATTGCTGCTTCCTATTCAGGTGCAATTCTGCCTCTGTCCACATCTGCCTGGCCTTCTTCCCGCGCTGCCTATATCCCCACATACAAAATCTACAAATTAAGGCCCAAATTTTGCAATTGTGGTATCATCAGAATGGTCACCTGTCTCTCTATCCGTTGACGTATGTTCCATATCCATGTTCTGTAATTAATAGTCAAATATCATCTAAAGAAGGCCAGAGTTGTTGTCCTGTTTCCGCGCAAAGATTGCTTCATATATTGCATCATAAAAGACCTGAAAATTGTCCAAAGCTGGCGATATTAGAGGGATCTGAAAGGGAGAATGTCCCTCTATCCATTGATGTAAGTTTCATATCCTTATTTGTTTTAGTAAGGAAAATATTCTCTAAAGAAGGCAGAAGGTTTTATCTTTCTGCTCGCAAGTTTCCGGAATTCCCGATTCCTCTGCGCATTACAAGTGGTGTTCCCGTGCGAAGATGGCTCCAAATATCGCATCATAAAAGACCTGAAAATTGTCAAAATCTGGCAATTTTCATAACATCTGAAAGAGCGAATGTCCTTCTATCCTTTCATGTAAGCTTCACATATTTATATTTGTACTTCCGCGAAAGAAGGTTCTGGTGCTGGCTACTTTTCTGGAATTCCCACTTGGTCTGCACATTTTTGGTCCTGTTCCCGCCCAAAAATTGCTCAATATATCGCACATTAAAGCCAAAGTTGGCTTCCTATATCGTGTCATAAAAGACCTGAAAATTGTCCAAATCTGGCCATCTTGGTGGCATCTGAAAGGACACCTGTTTTTCTTTCCATTGATGTAAGTTTCATATCCATTTTCGTCTTAGTTTACAGGTCGTGTTCTCTGTCAACAATGCCTCCATATGATGCATCATAAAAGACCTGAAAATTCTTCAAATCTTGCAATCTTGGTGGCATCTGAAAGGGCCAATACACCTCTATCCATTAAGGTAAGTTTCATATCCATACTCGTTGTAGGTTTCTGCACATTATTGTTCCTTTTCCAGCCCAAAGTTGATTCCATACATCGCATTAGAAAAAACTTGACAATTTTTCAAATCGGGCAATCTGGCTGGCATCTGAAAGGGCACATGTTCCTCTTTCCATTGATGTGAGTTTCATATCCATATTTGTTTTAGTTTTGGGAAATATCCGCGAAAGAAGGTTCTACTGCTCGCTATTTTTCAGGAAGTTCCGCTTTGTCTACACATTATTGGTCCTGTTCCAGCCCATAGTTGGCTCCATATATCGCATCATAAAAGACTTGACAATTCTTTAAATCTGGCATTCTTGGTGGCATCTGAAAGGGGACATGTTCTCCTTTCCATTCATTTAAGTTTTATATCCATACTCGTATTAGTTTGGGATATGTCTGCGAAAGAAGGTTCTGTTGCTCACTTTTTTTCTAGAATTTTGCTTTGTGTGCACATTATTGGTCCTGTTCCCGCCCAAAGATAGCTCCATATATTTCTTCATAAAAGACCTGCAAACTCCTCAAATCTGACAATTTTGGTTGCATCTTAAAAGGCACATGTTCCTCTTTCCATTGATGTAAGT